CTTTAAGACCATATTACTCTCTCCTTTCCATTTCCCAGGTGTATTTACACCCCAGTGGCATCCCATGGTTATTTGACCTTTGCCTGTGTTGGGCATCTGCAAAGAGGAGCTGTTGTTATTACTATCATCTTCTTCCAATTCTGTTGCCTTTTCTAGACTTCAGCAGGCTTCACATTATAACCCCTACTACAGTTGTATTCATCTGTGTTTTAGACTCTCACCCATCCTTCAGGTCCATCCCTTTCAAGGCGATTTTCTTGAATATCTCAAAAGGATGTAGCCTCCTTCTGAACTTTAATAGGCTTAGATTGGTCAATCCTTTCAGTTACCCTTTTAAATTATTATTGTAGTCATGATGTATCTTCCTGATTCTTCCATCTCTCTATATGCATGGTTTCATCTCTGATCTATTCTCTAATTAGTGTTATTATTGCTTCTGTTATCTTTAGATACCATATATTGAGCACCTACTCTGTATCAGGCACTGTGTTAATAGTTTAATATACATCTTCTTATTTTTCCCATCCCACAAAACTAGGAACTAGACATATGTATAATCTTGTATGAGATGAGGCAAGTACGACTCAGGTAGCAGCTACTAAATGGAAGAGCTAGATTCTAATCCAGGTCTAGTTCTCCCAGAGACCAGGCTGTTTCTTCCACATCCAGCTGCTCATCAACAAAAGTTTTTTAGACTTCTAAAGGAATTGGACTTGGTTCTTTTAAAAATTCCCGAGCAAAGTCAACAGAAAAAGGAGAATCCTGAGTTTTTCTTTTATAAGCTCTATCAGCTCCCAAGAAAAGAGTGAGGCAGGGTAAGACCGGATGATATTGTGGCCAGAGTGGTATAAAGAGCAGCTAAGAGTTTGATTTGAGGAGAAGAATCTCCTGTAAAACTTGGAGCTTTAAGGTATACAGAGAGAAAGTGAAGAAAATGTCCCGTTTCAAGGATAGGAAGTGGGAGGAGGATGCTGACCTGGGGCAAGATGGATGTTCCTTCAGATTTGAGAACTCTTATCCTGTACATGTTTGTACATGTAACATATGGAAATTACAGTGCACAAACATATTGTGTTTAGGTGAGTTACTCAGAGGAATTCCCTTGTCTCCTGGCACCTTTATCTGAGGTATTCCCATTTTCCTTAGACAGGAGACTTAACAGCATAACTTTCTTAAAGACTCTCTGACCTCTCTAAGCCTCAGTTGTACCAAAGGCTTAATATTACCAAGCCGCCCTCTAAACCCGTACCGCTCAATGGAACTTGATGCAATGGTGGGAATGCTCTTTATCTGAAGTGTCTGATAGTGTAGACAGAAGCCATGTCACTATTAAGCATTTGAAATATCGGGGGGGGGGGTGTACAACTGAGGATGGAGTTTTTCATTGTTTTTAATTTTAATTATGATTTTAATAACTACTTGTAGCTAGTGGCTGCCATATTGGACAGTACAGTTCTCGATCAGTTTTCTACCTCTTCTTAAGCCTTCTCTCTCATGAGGAAATTTTTAGTATAGATTTCCCCCACTCCAGATTATGTTTTGAATAGTTAATGTGAAAGGAGACACCTAAAGAGTTTCACAGAAACATTCACAGCAGTTCACTTGGCTCTAAAAATTTATTTAGATAAAGATAGAAAACAAGTCTGATCCACACATGTATTTTTCTGCATTCAGCATATATGCTGAGACGCCGTACAAAGCAAGGCAGCTTGCATGGCTCGGACACAGTCATGTTGTCCTGTATATGTGACCTCAACAATCTATGTATTGAGCTTGAGTCTCTTCCTGCTGCCTTTCTTTGCAAACATTGACTCACAAAATCCTTTAATCTCACCATAAAAGATAGGTATGTAGGTAGGTAGATGGATAGAGGTAGAGGTAGAGATAGATTTAGAGATGGGGGATAGAGAGGAAAAAAAAACATCTTACAGGGTAGAGAGAGAAGACTTTACTTCATTGAAGAAGTCTTACCCTTGCTTAAAAAAATAAAAAATAAAAAATAAATAAAATCCGCATTTGCCAAAGAAGTTTCAAGAGTTGGGAGAAAGAACATCCTGGGAAAAATGTTAAGTGAAGCCCGTATTTTTTATTGCAAAGCTTCCTTTTATTGAGCTCTTGCATCTGCCAAGTGCTATACCATTCCCATTACTCACGTTATCTCACACTTTTCACAACAGTCCTATGAGGACACTCGTATCACACTTTACTGATGACAGGACTCTGGCTTACGGTGCTAGTTAATACCTCACTCATGGAAGAGGAGGTGGTTGAACATTGACTCAAACCCAAGACAGCATGTCTACAAAGCCTGTGCTCTTCACCACTATACCAACACCTTGGAGTTGCTATACTCTCAAAGAAGACTTTTCAACTGGCTATTTCCAACTAGAAAAATGTTTCTCCTGTTGTGCTGAAATGTGACTTTTAGTAAGCAACCCTCCTCTGCACCATCAGCACATAACACATCAGCACTTGTTCTGTCCTTTGGGGCCACAAGGGACAAGCCAGCTCCTGCTCCTGCAGGATTTAGGCATGGTAACCCTGTTCCTCTCAATCTTAGTTTTTCCAGCTATAGGATGGACACACAGCTCCACACTTCTGCCTCCTACAACATGTTTTCCAGACTCTCCATTGCCTGGTCACTTCATATAAAGATAAGACTCTGCTTGTGCTTTTTAAAGAGTCTCTATAAGTTGTTCATTCTCAAATTTTAAAAGCCCTACTGTCAGAATGTGATCCTTCATGTCTAACCTAAATATCACAAGCTGCAATCCACAGTTTTCCCTTGGTCTATCCTCAAAGGGGACATTAACCAGTTAGTTGTCTGCATGTAACATTCTTAAAGGCTATTATTTTCTATCTTTTGCCTCTCTGGTGTAAATATGTCCAGTTCTAGTACATTATTATAATAATAATGTACTATAATAATAATGTACCCCCTCACCTTTTAGTGATTTCTGCAGCTTCTCTTTGATCTAGATTCAAGCTGCTGCTGGGTTTAGCACTAGATTCAATGAGGAGGTCAAGCTTCAGCAAAAGGGGGCTATGGGCATGGACTTGTGCTAGGTCTTATTTCTAGAAATGCAAGGGAACTGGAGCTATATTTTAATGTGTGCCTACTACGGGCCTGACACCATGCTGAGCTAATCTATAACTCCCTCAGGAAGAAGTTTTACCCCCATTTTAAAATGAGATCATAATTTAGAGAGGATAAATAGCTTGTCCCAAGTCTTAGAGCTAGTGAATGGCATTTGAACCCAGGGTGTCAAAGTCCAAAGCTTAGACAGTTTCTACCACATTGATAATATAACTGGTCTTTTCCAAAGTACAAAAGTATCCACTTGTCCTTAGACAGCCATCAGCCAATGGGAAATAGCCCTCAAAAATCCCATTTCCTTCCTCTGAACAATGCAGCATTTGGCTCTGCCAGCGCACGTCTCTCACACACACAGTGAAAAATCCTCATTCAACCCTTAGTCTGATCATTATTACCCTAGACTCATTGCCTTGGAGTCCCAACCAGCAACTCTAATGGCTTTTTAGATGGAAATTTAAGTCATTTAGCAACACACACAAAAGTGTTGGGTAAAAGTCCAAGAGCATTTCAAACTGGCCCATGGCCCTTTCTCATGAAAAAAAAAAAAAAAAAAAAAAAAAAAGTGGGGGAGGGGGAGCTAAGAATTGATGGGAGAAGGGTGGGAAGAAAGGAAGGCAGAGAGATTTGAAGCAACTGCAAGAGAGTAGACAGTCAATAAATATTTGTCCAATAAATAAATGGGCCATACTGGTTTGAGAGAAGAGAAATTGCCAAGTTCTCTTCTTCATCATAATTTTTATTCAGTGGGCTTGCCTACATCACAGATGTACCAATTCTTACTTAGGAAACTAATTTGAATGAAAAAGCACACTTAGAAGGTTTTGTTTCTTTTTCTTGTCTTTGTTTTATTTTGTTATGTTTTTGTCCTAACCAGTGTGTAGAAGCCCTAATTAGATGTTACATGATAATTGGTGAAATATCAAATATGAATATAATCAGGATGTGGTATGGATAGGAAGTTCTTGATTCTGTGCATAGCTGGTGCTTTCTTAAGTCCCCAAGGCCTTGCTCAGTGCTATAGAAGTGCTTCATGGTTCCTTTCCCCGCTACAATCCCTCTCCAGGTTTTGCAGAGACGTTCTGTCAGCATAGAAGAGATGATTACCAGGGATCGTGTTCATGCCCTTTTGTCATTGGAATAAGATCTTCCTGAAAAACACATTGGAAAACCTGTTATAGAATCCAAATATCACATCTAATCGACATAACTAACTAACTTAGGATATGCAAGACTAAGAATGGCATGGGCATAGAAAAATGTCAATTTGTGGAAAAACAAATAGCTCTCAATTATTGTCTTGAATTACAATTAGGTGTATCTCTTAGTGGGAAAAGGCCTATAAATGACATCATGCCATATACAGATTATTCTCATATGTATCCAAGGCATATGTTAATCAACAGTATAACCACCTAAAGTTTCACTTGTCTTCTGTCTTTACTCAGTCATTTCTCATTGCCTTTGACAACTCCCCTTCCCTCTGCCACGACTGCCCATGCAGGTAAACAGCCGTAATGCAGATGAATAAGACAACTTAGCAGGGGAAGAACTGCCTCACAATAGCCTGTCACCTCCAACCTCTGTTTGTATCTGGTCCTCTTTACTCCTTTAGAGACCACTGTATATCAACACTATAGTGAATATTGAATGAATACCAGGAGAGCTTCAAATATAGGGAAACACAAAGTAAAAATTCACTACAATTGCAGTCAGTGGATTCAATGAGAAGAACATACTAATAAGCTTGTTTTTCTTTATTTACTTATAGAAGAGAATTTCTTCAAGAAGACCAGGAACAACTGATTTATTCAATTCTGTGCATCCAAGACCCCAACTCTACCTGATAGTAAGACTCCCTAGAATCTTAAAACCCCAGAAACATCCCACCAAACCCACCTCCACCATGGGGGCCGTGACTCAGCTGCTGGTGGGCATATGCCTAGCTTTGCTCGCCCTCCCTGCTGAAGGTGGGGTCCTCAAGAGAGTCATTCGGCATAAGCGACAGACTGGGGTGAACGTCACTCTGCCCGAGGAAAACCAGCCCGTGGTGTTCAACCACATCTACAACATCAAGCTGCCTGTCGGGTCCCAGTGCTCCGTGGATCTGGAATCAGCCAGTGGGGAGAAGGATCTGGCCCCACCTTCCGAGCCCAGTGAAAGCTTCCAGGAGCACACCGTGGACGGGGGGAACCAGATCGTCTTCACACACCGCATCAACATCCCCCGCCAGGCCTGTGGCTGTGCCCCTGCTCCTGACATCAAGGAGCTCCTGAGCCGCCTGGAGGAGCTGGAGAATCTGGTGTCGTCCCTGCGGGAGCAGTGCAGCGTGGGAGCGGGCTGCTGCCTCCAGCCTGCCGAAGGTACGAGGGGAGAAGTGATGAGCATGGCAAGATACTGAATGCAGTTGTTTCCAAAGTGAGCTCCTGGGGAAACGAGCTTTACAAGGAATTTATTGCAAAGAGATTTGATGGTCAAATAAATGTGGAGAGTGTAACCATCTCTATTCTGCTGTCGGTGACAAATGTTCCCCAGAGGAATTTGTAGTAATTTCACTTTCATCACTTGTTTCCAAAATTTATTTGACCATGAAATGTACACATTCTCTACCTCAAAACCAATGAACATATTAAACTCCTGACCCAAAGATCAGACCCTGAAAGATACTGATATAGCCTTATTGCCCCATTGTACAAGTGGGGAAACTGAGGCCCAGAAGTAGGATGGGATTTCTCAAGGTCCTGCAATAAGTGACCAAGTTAGGACTTAAACCACAATATTGCAGCCTGGCTCGTATGGCTCAGTTGGTTGGGTGTCTTCCATGCGCTAAAAGGTTACCAGTTTGATTCCCAGTCAGAGAACATGCCCAGGTTGCATCTACAAGTTTCAGAGAGTTCAAGCTAAGAATTCCTACCCAGTGTAATTAGATAGGAGTTCCAGCTGATTTCACATAGTAAGCAACTAGTTTTTAAGCCAGATGGGGGCCTGAGGGTGCAGCTGTGCCCTGGCAGAATCCGAATTTGGGTTTCAAGGGTGGAAACTGAGCTGCTGTGCTCAGCTGAGAGCCTCTTATCTTTTTGCAGGCCGCCTGGACACTAGGCCTTTCTGCAGCGGCCGGGGCAACTTCAGCACCGAGGGGTGCGGCTGTGTTTGCGAGCCCGGCTGGAAAGGCCCCAACTGCTCTGAGCCTGAATGTCCAGGCAACTGTCACCTGCGAGGCCAGTGCCTCGATGGGCAGTGCATCTGCGACCAGGGCTTCACTGGGGAGGACTGCAGCCAGCTGGCCTGCCCTGGCGACTGCAACGACCAGGGCAAGTGTGTGAATGGGGTCTGTGTCTGCTTCGAAGGCTACACCGGGGCCGACTGCAGCCAGGAGCTGTGCCCGGTGCCCTGCAGCGAGCACGGCAGGTGCGTGGACGGCCGGTGCGTGTGCCAGGACGGCTTTGCGGGTGAGGACTGCAACGAGCCCCTGTGCCTCAACAACTGCTACAACCGCGGGCGCTGCGTGGAGAATGAGTGTGTGTGCGACGAGGGCTTCACGGGCGAGGACTGCAGCGAGCTCATCTGCCCCAACGACTGCTTCGACCGGGGCCGCTGTGTCAACGGCACCTGCTACTGCGAAGAAGGCTTCACGGGGGAGGACTGTGGGCAGCTCACCTGCCCCAACTCCTGCCACGGCCAGGGCCGGTGCGAGGAGGGCCAGTGCGTGTGCGACGAGGGCTTTGCAGGCGTGGACTGCAGTGAGAAGAGGTGTCCCGCCGACTGCCACAACCACGGCCGCTGCGTCGCCGGGCAGTGTGAGTGCGACGACGGCTTCACGGGCGCCGACTGCGGGGAGCTCAGATGCCCCAACGGCTGCAGCGGCCACGGCCACTGCGTCAACGGGCAGTGTGTGTGCGACGACGGCTACACCGGGGAGGACTGCCGCCAGCTGCGCTGCCCCAATGACTGCCACAGCCGGGGCCGCTGCATCAAGGGGAAGTGTGTGTGCGAGCAGGGCTTCCAGGGCTACGACTGCAGTGAGATGAGCTGCCCCAATGACTGCCACCAGCACGGCCGCTGCGTCAACGGCATGTGTGTCTGTGACGACGGCTACACGGGCGAGGACTGCCGGGACCTGCGGTGCCCCAAGGACTGCAGCCACCGGGGCCGCTGCGTGGAGGGGCGGTGTGTGTGTGAGGACGGCTTCACGGGCCGAGACTGCGCAGAGCTGTCCTGTCCTGGGGACTGCCATGGCCAGGGTCGCTGTGTGAACGGGCAGTGCGTGTGCCACGAAGGCTTCATGGGCAAAGACTGCAAGGAGCGGAGGTGTCCCAGCGACTGTAATGGCCGCGGCCGGTGCGTAGATGGCCAGTGCGTCTGCCACGAGGGCTTCATGGGCCTGGACTGTGGGCAGCGCTCCTGCCCCAATGACTGCAATCATTGGGGGCAGTGCGTCGCAGGCCGCTGCATCTGCAATGAGGGCTACACCGGGGAGGACTGCTCAGAGGGTGAGTACCAGACTCCCACCAGGGAGATGCGGCTGGGACTCACTAAACACACACTAACTCATTAAACACACACACTAGCTCTTTGAAGGGCCTGAGTATTCACCTGCTGAGAAGCTACCTATTTAATGTCTCAGAGGCCCAGAGAGGTTATGAAATTGTCCCCAGGACACACAGCTAATAGATCACAAAGCTGATATCTGAGTCTGCCCACCTCATCTACACTGAGGTTAACACCCATGCCCAGTAGAGGAAATGATAACCTCTCTTTTGTTAAGCATCAACTTTCTTTCCTACTTTCCACTGATATCAAATCAGTAATAAACTCAATTTCTCTATTTGGAGGGAGGTAAAAAATCAGTTACATTGAGCGGAAAACTTTATAAAACAGTTTTCCATGCACACTTTACTAAAGATAAAATGATGATCACGAGTCAGGCCCGTCTCTTATATAATCTTCTCTGCATTGACTTTGATCCCAAGGATTGTGAGATCCTTAAAGGAGCATTATCCCTACAGGTAACACAAGGCATGGTGTACAGTTGTGTTCGGTAAACACTGGTTGAGTGAAAACACCACAAAGACCAATAATGCTCATGTTTAGTGAGGATCTGTTTTCTACTTCTCTCATCCATCCATATTACAATGGTCACCATGAAGAATTTCTACCTTGATTAAGACTATTGGTAGATAGATAAGATGTAAATGGCTGTGGGTTTAATGTGGTCAGAACAGCTGGCTGGTAGGGACATGTGAGTCCCAAATTGGATGAGATGAGCTAAGCTGGGAAAGTCCCTCTACCTCACTCACATCTAGAAAGTGAAAGTTAGACCAGATGAGCTCAGAATACCTTCTGAGGGCCAATGATGTGTGACTTCAAGTGCAAAGCAGGGAGCTAAGCTCAGGCTGCCCCTTCCCAAGCAGATGGCCTGGCTCTGAACAAGGGTCCAAGGAATGGAGATATGGAGGAGCTGGGTCACAAAGAACCTTCAAGGCGACCCTGCAGACCTGACACCGCAGCCTGGAGGCAGTGACACCACTGGAGATTTTAAAGATGGGTGGCAGCCAGGGCTCCCCATGAGTTCTGCATGTTAAAAAATGGAAGCTGGCCCCTTTCTGCCAGTGGAAGCAAGATTCTACAGTGCCCATTACTGACCCCAGCTGTCCTTCCTCTTTCCTACCAGTGTCCCCTCCCAAAGACCTCGTTGTGACAGAAGTGACAGAGGAGACTGTGAACCTGGCCTGGGAGAACGAGATGCGGGTCACAGAGTACCTCATCATGTACACGCCCACCCACGAGGACGGCCTGGAGATCCAGTTCCGGGTCCCCGGGGACCAGACGTCCACCACCATCCAGGAGCTGGAGCCCGGCGTGGAGTACTTCATCCGCGTGTTCGCCATCCTGGAGAACAAGAGGAGCATTCCCGTCAGCGCAAGGGTGGCCACTTGTGAGTGAGCAGAACTGCCCTCGGCAGCCTCAACTGCCCTCCCCTTGCCCAGAGCATACCTTGTCACCTTGCCTTTGCCCCATAGATCCATAGCTGTCCCTACAGTCACATCAATTAAGACCCTGGAATCCAATGTAGCCCCTAAATATTTTCTTTAAAAAATTCCTCATTGCCCAGGCCAGTGTGGCCCAGTAGGTTGGGCATCATCACATGCATTAAAAAGTTGCCAGTTTTAGCCGGGACCGGTTTGGCTCAATGGATAGAGCCTCGGCTTGGGGACTGAAGGGTCCCGGGTTCGATTCCGGTCAAGGGCATGTACCTTGGTTGCGGGCATATCCCCAGTAGGGGGTGTGCAAGAGGCAGCTGATCGATGACTCTCTCTCATCGATGTTTCTAACTCTCTATCTCTCTCCCTTCCTCTCTGTACAAAATCAATAAAATATATTTAAAAAAAAAAAAAAAAAAAAAAAAAAAAAAGTTGCCAGTTTTGATTCCTGGTCAGAACACATGCCAGGATTTCAAGCTCAATCTCTGGTAGGAGGCAGCCTATCAATGTTTTGCTCATATCAATGTTCTCTCTCTCACCCTCTCCATTCCTCTCTCTCTAAATTTCAATAAATTCTTAAAAAACAACAACAAAAGAAACTCCTCATATACTAACAATAACCTTCTAAGATAGGAGTATTGTTAACCCATTTTACAGATGAGAAAACTAAGACTCCTAATGGTTGAGCATCTCATCCCAAATCACACAATTAATAAGTGGTGGAGATGGGATTTGAACCCTGGCAGTCCAGTTGCAGATTTATCCTATTCCAAACTATTCCAAACTATATTCCTGTGAAACTCACTGTATGTATATTATATATATATATATATATATATATATATATATATATATATTTAACACTAGAAGTTCAAGTTACTCCTTTAAGAATCCAACATCAGTATTATTTTCTTCCTATCTGAAAAGTAAGTTAGGCTAGAATGTGGTAATTTTATTTTATTTTTTTGCTTAGTCATAATAACGTTGACTGCCATATTAAACTTGTGCCACATGCCAGGAACCATGCAAACGATCTACATGCAATATACCACTCAGTCCCAAAACATTCCCAAGGGGCATGTTCTTCTTCCAAGTGAAGAAACTGAGGCCTGGAGCATTTTGTACAATTTTCCCATGTAAATAACGTGTAACTGCAGAGCTGAAATTCTAACCAAGTCTGTCTGATTCCAAAGCCTGTGAACATATTAGGTTTAAGCACATGGAATTACCCAGATTTAACCATATGGAGTGTCCTAACATTAATTTTCATGCTGCTGCGCCGTAGACAGCATTGCAGAAGAACCTTTAAGTAGAGCCCAGCTCAGATGCTCAGCCCCTGACTGGGGCAGGCGCCCGCCCCTGGGTTCAGCAGAACAGGGCTTTGTGGCCTCCACCTTACGTGTCGCCATCCTTACCTCCTTTCCGTGCTCTTCCTGACAGACTTGCCTGCACCTGAAGGCCTCAAATTCAAGTCCATCAAGGAGACATCTGTGGAAGTGGAGTGGGATCCTCTGGACATCGCTTTCGAAACATGGGAGATCATCTTCCGGAATATGGTAGGGAGCTCGAAGCAGTGGGCGTGCAAGGGTCTAGGAGATGGTCAGAGGCCTCTGCAGACCTTCATATCAACTCTAGTTCTTTGGCTTCTGGTGGGGGACAGGGCTCCAACTGGCTCTTGTATGTACCCATACACATTATTTTTAAGTGATTTTACTAAGTCAGTAACCATGGAATTTGGGACTGAGGGCCTAGACAAATAGAAGTTCAGTCATCTCTAAGTTTCAGATATTTCTCATTGAAGATCTCTATTCAGAGGCAAAGAGAAGAAATGATCTCTGTTTCAAAATGCCTCTGAGCCTAAAGTACATGTGAGGTAGGGAAATGGGTTTCCTGAGTTCAAGCCCAGGTTCTGCCACTAACCATGTGACTATGGGGCAAGGGTGCTGCTGCTTATTTTTTAAAGGAGTGAGTAAGCCTGTGGATCCAGAATCGCTTTGGTTCTCACATTTTGCCCTTGACTTAAGTGTCAAAGAGATGAGTAGAGAAATTTGAGAGAGACATACCTGAGAAATGTCTGTATCATTTCTGCATCCTCAGCATCTACCAAACAGATTCAATGTCTAATAAGCACTTAGGGAATAGAGGAGATAATAAAAGAGGAATGGATGAAAGTGAAATGAATAATCACATAAATGAAGAGGCTGGCACCTTCTCTAGGCCTTATCAAGGGGCTCCTATCTTTCAGAATAAAGAAGATGAGGAAGAGATCACCAAAAGCCTGAGGAGGCCGGAGACCACATATCGGCAAACTGGCCTAGCCCCTGGACAGGAATATGAAATATCTCTGCACATTGTGAAGAACAATACTCGGGGCCCAGGCCTGAAGAGGGTGACAACCACCCGTGAGTATCACATTTGATATTGCTGACACAATGACAGAGCTGACTGTAACTCACTGCATTTCTGGTCAATAGCTTGCCTTCTTATATAGCACCTGAAACAATTAGCTTTTGCTACGTAAAAAAACAAGCCCAAAACTCAGTGGCTTAAAACAATAATTCTGCACATTGGTGATTTAGGATTGGGCTCAACCGGGCCATTTTTCTGTTCTTGACTGGGCTAACTTATGCATCTTTGTGGGCTGGGGGCTGGTTGATCTAGACTGGCCTCAGCCTTGATGCCTTTCTGCACCACTGGCCTCTTAGCCTCCTAGATACTATCCTGGCCCTGCTCTGATAGTAGGTGACATTAAATTGGCATTAATATTACTTCTGCCTGAGCAAATCTCAAGGCCAGTCCAGATATAAGGGGTGGGGAAACAGATCTATTTCTTGGGGAGCTTCAATGTGACATTCCAACATGGCATGGATGCCAGGTAATTGAGACCACTGCCACATGATCTACCACATCATCTCATTTAACATTAGCACCAGACCTGTGAAAGAGGTTGGGCAAATATTAATGTTATTATTTTTTAAGAGTAGAAACTGTGTCTAAGAGAAAACAAGCCGCTGCTGGAGTGTCGGGCCTGTCAGCCTGGCTGGGGGTCGAGGGAGCCCAGTGGTGAGGCTAGAACCGCTGCTGTTGTAGTGTCTGGGCCTGTCAGCCCCTCCATGAGGCTGGATGCTATGTCCAGGGGGCACATGCAAATTGTCCCCTCAGGAGTTAGATCACTTGCTCTGATGTGTGCTGACCACAAGGGGGCAGCACGGAATGAAGGAAGACCCCAGCCAACAGCCAGGGAAGGGAGGCCCCAGCCACCAGCTGGCAGCTAGCAACTATGGGAGGCAGGCCCTGATCACCGGCCAGGCCTAGGGACCCTACCCGTGCACGAATTTCATGCACCGGGTCTCTAGTGATAATAATAACAGAGAATCACCACCTGTGATGTAGCTGCCAGGTTGTAGGCTCCCTGCCAGATGCTCTGCACACACTGCCTCCTTTACTTCTTTTAAAAATATATTTGTATTTATTTCAGAGAGGAAGAAAAAGGGAGAGAGAGACATCAATAATGAAAGAATCATTGATTGGCTGCCACCTGCATACCCCACACTGGGAATTAAGCCTGCAAACCAGGCATGTGAATTGAGCCAGTGATCGCCTGGTTCATAGGTTGACACAACCACTGAGCCATGCTGTCCAGACTGTCTCCTTTCAAAAAACATCAACAAACCCTACAAAGTAATATCAGCCCTACTTAGAGCTTGTTGAATAGGACACTGAAGATCAGAAACATAAAATAAGGTCCAGGGATCAATATTATACCGATATATGCATAAGTAGATGGGATGGCTGCTTCTCTCTGCTCAGCCCCAGCACTATCCACTCTCTGAAACAGCTGTTGCTCTGTCCTCTGCCCATCACAGGCTTGGACGCTCCCAGCCAGATCGAGGTGAAAGACGTCACAGACACCACTGCGCTGGTCACCTGGTTCAAGCCTCTGGCTGAGATCGACGGCATCGAGCTCTCCTATGGGATCAAAGACGCGCCGGGCGACCGCACCACCATCGACCTCACACACGATGAGAACCAGTACTCCATCGGGAACCTGAAGCCAGACACCGAGTACGAGGTGTCCCTCATCTCCCGCCGGGGCGACATGTCCAGCAACCCTGCCAAAGAGACCTTCACAACAGGTAACGGGCCTTCCCCGCAATTGGCACCAGCAAGGGAAGGATTGCGAGACTTCATCCACTCTTCCCTGGGGTACCTTCCAGGCTCCTTTGACAGCAGGAAAACAAAAAGGGAATTTCCATTCCTTTAAATTTTATTTTAAAATATTGTACTATTTAATTTTTCAAAGAAAAAAAAATCCCAAATAACCTTCCAAAATAAAAAAGTATATGTTGGCATACATAGAAGGAACTAGTCTGACACACTCAGACACTAGTCCTAGTAAAAAAATGTTTAAATAAAATTTTATTAAATATAGTATAATATATAGAAAACATGAATGACAAAGATGCCTCCTAATGTCTTAGCCTATGACTTTTTTTTTTTAAAGTACCAGAGTGTCAGTCATTTTTTTTTTCAGAGCTAAGTAAGCACTATATGAGTTATTGAAAATATAATGATGAGCCCGGCCGGCATAGCTTAGTAGTTGAGTGTTGACTTATGAACCAGGTCGTCTCAGTTCAATTCTCGGGCAGGGCACATATCTGGGTTGTGGGCTTAACCCCCAGTAGTGGTCATGCAGATGGCAGCTGATCAGTGATTCTCTCTCATTATTGATGTTTCTAGCTCTGTCTCCCTCTCCCTTCCTTTCTGAGATCAATAAAAAATATATATTTTAAAAAGAAATACAGGGGTGAGCACAACAGGCCAGTTCTTACATTTATAGAGCTTATTTGTAAGTTTCTGTATAGTTTTTAGTTTTTTTTTTGTTTTGTTTTTTTTTAAGCACAAAATCTGAGGAAAATGTGAATGACTGAAGTGTCACACACGTTAACAATGGGGAAAGTACCAAACATTTGGAATTTGTTTAGACCTGTGCGTCAGCTATTGGGATGGTTATGGGGCAATTTGTCATTTTCCTCCAATGACAGTTTGACTTGTGGGACCGCCACTCTTGGTGCCTGATGTTTTCCATACAAACGTCCCTTCCTTTCCCAAACAGGCCTGGATGCTCCCAGGAATCTTCGCCGCGTCTCCCAGACAGACAATAGTGTCACCTTGGAATGGAAGAACGGCAAGGCGGCCATCGACAGCTACAGAATTAAGTACGCACCCATCTCTGGAGGTGACCATGCCGAGATCGAGGTCCCCAGGAGCCAACAAGCCACAACCAAGACCACACTCACAGGTGAGCTCCACATCCCAGACCCAGTTGCCTTGGGAACGTGGCCCCGCTTTGCAACCCTCCAGTTCCCAGCAATCCCTCAAAGGGATGTCAGTGAGTCAGTCTGCAGAACATTCGACACAGCTCAGGGCCGTTTTTAAGATCTTCTGAAAGTCTTTCTGATTTGAAACTGAATTTCCACCTGCACGCTTTCTCTTAGGTCTGAGGCCAGGAACTGAATATGGGATCGGTGTGTCTGCTGTGAAGGGAGACATGGAGAGCATTCCGGCCACCATCAATGCGGCCACAGGTGAGGCACCTGGACTCCCGCCCAGCCCCCACCCCAGGCAGGCTCTCACAGACACAGGACTCAGGAGGCAGAAAACCTGCTTTAAAAAAACAGTAGGCCCTGCTGGTGTGGCTCAGTGGTTGAGCATCAATCTATGAACCAGGAGTTCACGGTTTGATTCCCAATCAGGGCACATGCCAGGGCTGTGGGCTGGATCCCCAGCAGGGGGTATGCAGGAGGCAGCTGATCAATGATTCTCATCATTGATGTTTCTATCTTATTTCTCCATCTTCTTTCCTCTCTGAAATCAATAAAAATAAAACAATTTTTAAAAGAAATAGAGAAAGGAGCCCCTATGGCCATCTAGCCCAGATGACCCACTAGAAAGTAACTTGAGCACACCACATCCAAATGATTCCCACACTGCTGTCAGGACAGACGGCAAAAGCGGGAAATACTAGAACCAGACTTTATCAGAAATCTACAAACTTTTAAAGTTTGTAACCAATTCCAGGATTGTTGTTTTTCTCTATCATTGACTGATTAAAACACATCTGGGGGTTTCTCTTAATACACACTTAATGTGTATACTCTGCTCACATAAATTATAAGTGGCCAGAACACAGGTTGAGTCAGACTTTACCCATGCACTCTGAAGTGTCAACCTCTGGGTGAGGATGGTGAGGGGCTCGCTGATTTGAAGCCATTGCTTCTTCAATTTTTTTTTTTCTTGGAATGTTGTAAAAGAGAAACCCCTTTCCTCTCTCCCTCTGCCAGCCTCCTCCTGACCTTCTCTCTGAAGGAAAGGAAGGCTGGAGAGCAGAGGTCATGCTTCATTGAACCCCTCATTATACAAGAGCCAGTATATATTCTGTTTGATCTTTTTCTTTTAAGGTAATTATTTCAACAGCATGTGAATCTACACGGAGACATGCCCCTAAATCCCTCACCCAGGTTCCCCCAATGGTAACAATTGTTCAATTATAGAACAGTAACACAACTGACATTGATACAAATCTGCCAACTTCATTCAGGTACACTCATCTCTGTGAGTGTATCTCTGTGAGTGTATTTCGTTGTACAGTTTTATCACATGTAAACTTTGAACCCTTCACTACAGTCAAAACACAGAGTAGTTCCATCACTGGATCTCTCTTCCTCTTCTGTACCGTGACACCACCCTCCCTCCCTATTCCAAACCCTTGGCAATCATCTTGATAATTTTGTCATTTTAAGAATCTATACATATAAAAGCCTAAGCAACCGTTATGACCAAATGACCACAACCACCAGTTGACCAGTCGCTATGACACACAATGACCACCAGGGGGCAGATGCTCACCACAGGAACTGCCCCCTGGTGGCATTGCACTCCCACAGCTAACCTCCCACAGCCCTTACACCCCCACCTCACCAGCCAGACCTGATCGGCCCCCAGTGGAGTCTGGGCAAAACACCCCAATCAGCCCCAATGGCAGGCCAGGCTGAGGGACTCTACCTGTGCACTGGGCCTCTAGTGCTACATAAAAGGCATCATATAGTATGAAACCTTTAGAGATTGGCTTAAGATCAATCCAAATTGTTTATTGAATCAACAGTGAGTTCTTTTTAAATTCTTTTAATTGAGTAGCATTTTGTGGTATGGGTATGCCACTATGTTCCTTTTAGGTAATTTACAGTGGCATATACAAGGTGAAAACTGAGGCCCAGTTAGGTGAGTCTCCTAAAGCCCCAGTTGCTTGATAGTGGACCTGGGGCTGCAGCCCGGAGCTAGCTGCCCTTCAGTCCCAGAAACAGCCTGCCTCCTAGCCTAAGGAGTATTCATCTCTGTGTTTTCCTCAGATATGGACGCCCCCAAGGACCTTCGGGTGTCTGAAACTGCAGAGACCACCCTGACCCTGGTCTGGAGGTCACCATTGGCCAAGTTTGATCATTACCGCCTCAACTACAGCCTTGCTTCGGGCCAGCCAGTAGAGGTGCAGCTGCCCAGAGACACTACCTCCTACGTCCTGAGAGGCCTGGAACCAGGGCAGGAATATGCCATGCTCCTGAGAGCGGAGAAGGGCAGGCATAAGAGCAAGGCCGCGCGGGTCAAGGCATCCACAGGTGAGGTCAGCCCCCGAGCTCCCTGCAGACACTGTTAACTGTGAGGTTTGCAGACCCAGCAGCCGGGCTGCCTTCACACGAGAACACCCAGTGGGAAGTTCTGCTACTCTCTCTACTCAGAAAGCCTCTAAATGCCACTTTGAAAGAGCAACTTACTAACCTTTCCCACTTGTCAACTGAGTCAGCGGTTTCCTTGCTGGGTGATCAATAGTGATTTTCAACTATTTCCTCCCAGGAGAACTTAAAGCATCAGGACTTGTGTTTGTCTTTGGTTCTTTTCTTTCTTTTAATTTTGTGTTCAAATTGTTTATTGTCCCCGCCTCCTTTAGCCTAACAATTAATTTACCTTTAATTTTATTTCTCTTCGAGATGCCCAGGATGTTGGTAATAATTCTTTGGTTATTTCTCATTCAGTGTTTCTATTCCAGGTTTTTGCTTTCCTCTAAGGTTACCTGAAAAGTTGCACATGGTCCTTGGAGCCTTCTTTCAAAGTACCCTCCTCATTTTCTATTTCCTCTTAGTCATTAAGAGTGAACTTCACTTCCCATGGCTGCTGATCTCCAGTGTCCCTGCCAGCCCTGTGATTCTGTTTGTTTTACCTGCTGCCACATTTCCTCAGTAACTAAAATGAAAATAATAATAATAATAACAATACAAATCAGTTCTTCCTATATGAAAAGTATACACATATAATTTTGGCCCCAAAATATAAAAAATTATAATGGAAAATGTTAATTCTTCAAGATTTGACAAGTAATAGTCTTTTAGTTTCAAATTAACTTTTAAGTATTGAGAGCCCACTGAATACACTTTAGTGTGCTAGTATTTGAAGGGCAACTGGGTACTTAGCATTGTCACTTTGGCTCAGGTGCTCCTGCTCACAGATCGTGGAAAAGACTAGATATTCAGAGTGTAAGATGGAACTTAACCAAGGACAGGGAATGATTGGGAGAATCAGGAGCAGCCAGAGTGTCATGACAGAGATGTTACTCCAGCTGAATCTCTATAAACATAAAAGAGGTTGTAATGATGGACAAATATGGAAATGCCTTTGAGTCTTTGTCATGTCTGAATACTTTCACCAGCATATAATATAAATATCAAATAACAGTCACTTGGAACCTGCTCTCCTCTCTCCTAAAAGTGAATCTGAGGTTAGGTGATTCAGGGATAGCACAGCAGATCCAAATTATCAGTGACTCAGGCTCCTTCTCTCTTTCTGTTCCACTCTTCTTGGCTTCCTTTCTCAGTCACCTCCATGTCATAACAGGGCTGTGTTCTAGGCAGCATGGGGGGCGGGGGGAGAGAAGAACCAAAAAGAGAACCTACTAGATGAGTCTTTCTGGAAACTTCCCTAATGCCTTTAGTCACATTTCATCTATTGTTCCTGGCTATAAGTTAGATCTAGGAAAGATTAAGTAGTCTCTGGCTGAGCATGTTGCTGCCGCATAAAAATGTGGTTGTCTGTTAAGGAGAGAGAAGAGGCATCTGGTATACCACACAGCAGCCTGTTCAGAGACTAAAGTGAGCCCCTGCAGTCAGCTCCACTGACCCTGAGCAAGGCAGGCAGGACAGAATCAGGAAGGAATAGATGGATTGTAGAGACTGAACATGGCAGCTTGTATAAGGTATCAAGGGATTAAAGAATCAGAAAAACAAAAAAGAGGGAATTCCTCCTCTTACTATTTCCCCCACTCTCTCCCCCTTCCCCTCCTCCTCTATCTCTTCCCTGAATTTGACAAATGCTATACCGAAGAGAGTTTCATAGCTCCATCCAATTATATTAGCCTCTGGCTACAGCCACGTAACCCCCAATCTCCAGGAGGGAAGCCCAGGCCTGGTAGCAGAGAGAGGCAAGCTTTGTGAACCACAGGCTGGGGTTACTTTGTGTCTGACTGAAAGTCCTGTTTTGGCATCCCAAAGGCTCATGATTTCATTTCCCAGGCATGCCTCCTTAACACTGTTTCAAAGAAATCATTTGTATATTTAAGGACATTATTCATTATAAGAAAAATGTGCAAAGTCCCTTTTATTGGTTCTTTGCTCACTGTCTCCATAATATATCTCTCTATAGCGTTCTCCATAGAACTATTTTATTTTATTAAAATTCCTTCTCTTTAATTCTGTCTTCCTAAGTCTCTTACATTTACTACAGTCAATAATATACAAGTGTGCTCTGTGCTAAGTTCTGGGGATGTTAGATCAATTAAGATAGGTCTGTGTTCCAAGGAATTCACTACCTAGTAAACAAGAAAGCACAATATTCCACTTGCTGGAATTGGGGGTGCAAAGCAGGCAGCAGGAGAACAGAATGACTTTAAGCATCAGAAAATGGAAGCTAAAAATAAATGAGAGGAAGCTGATGGACATAGAGACAAACAGGACTTTGTTGTGGAATATGTAAAGAAACAGAAGTCCAGGCACTTGGCCTTGGTAAGCACATAGAAAGAAAAAAGAAATACGAAGTGGAAGCCCTTGGGTAGACATACCATGTGGCTACAAGTCTTGAAATGTCAAAGGGCTGTAGATACAAACCTCAGAAGAAAGGGACTTCTAGTTGTACATCACTAGATTCTCAAAAGCGGAAGTCTGCAAAGAGCCACTCATCATCTGTGGGTTTCACAGAGCAGATGTGGAATTGGCTGCCCCAAAGCATTTTTCCCAAGGAATTCCAGGACTCTCACCATGGAATTGAGCCAAAGGGCAAGCCTTTTCCTTGATGCGGCACCCAACTAAAAGTATCCACAACCTAGCTGCCCATCACACCTACCACAGGCTGCAGGGCTCTGCAGAATCTGGCCCATCCCATCTCTCTGACCTCATTTCACCCTTGTCCCCATACTCATTTCACCATGGCCACCTTGGCCTTCTCACTGTTCCTTAAGCAGACCAAGCCTGTTCCTACCTCAGGACCTTTACACATGCTATTCCTGCTGCCAGGGAACCACTTTTCTCTTAGTTCTTCCCATGGCCTCTTCCTCACTGCATTCAACTTGTGTGTTATTCAAAAGCCTTTTCTGACCACCAATGTAAAAACGGTGCCCCCATCCTGGCTTACCCTTCTGTGCTGCTCCAAAATTCCTTATGACACTTATCTGGCCTAATATTATTCAGTAGTTGATTTATTTTCTATGACCTACCTCCTCCTGCCAACCAAAATGGAAGCACTCTGCCTCTACCCAGCACTTCATCCCTAGCGCCTTGAACACAGCCAAGCATAAGATGTGTGCTTTATGAACACTGCGAACCTCAGTTGTTCCAGAGGCAGCATTTCCACTGTGTCCTCTGGCCTCTCCACCTCTAAACTAGCAGCCCAAACTCTCTCTAAGGATTAAGGAGAAGGTAAGGGAAGTCATTCCCCTGGAAGGTCTCAGTTAAGCTTAATCTGGATAGAAAAGGAAGGGAGGGAGGGACAGAGAAAGAAAAGGAGGATACTATGCCTGTTAGCAATGAAAAAAATTGAGTGCATATCAGGCATATCCTTAGAAGTCCTTCTCTCTGCATTTGACCCTGATAACCTCAGGGGAACCGTGATTAAAGTGGAGGCCAAGAATTTTCTGTGAGCAATAAGGGACATAAAGCATGGAGAATATGTAGAAACACAAAGCCACTAAAGCATATTTCCATACTAGTGTTGGGCAGGGAGACATTCCCTCTTAGTTCTTCTGGCTGGTGGAATAATTGAAATAACAGAAGACAGATTAACAGGTGACAATCACCAAATGTATGTTCCAAATGGATATTGGGCCCTAGAACAATTTGGCAGTAGAGTTTTAACAAACGAAGGGATAGTGATTTGGGCCTTGAAAGGGGAGAAAGTTCACATGGAGATGCAGAAGCAAATAAAGGAGTCTTTGCTGGGACACCTAGAACAATGGGACACACAAAGGACTTTGATCAAAGGGGCCTTCTATGTTCCTCCTTGTCTATCACATCTAGTTCATATTAAACTGTGGTCATTTATAATAACTCCCTTTCTGGAGAAAGTCCTCTAATTTTTTTAAGCAGCTAGAGGTCAAAGGTTCTTCCAGAATCTTTAGTTTTTTCAAAATAACCATTTTAGAATAATAAATTTTCCAAAGAGGCATAATTTAAGGTAGCAAGTTGCCCCACAGTGCCATCTACAAGATGTTGGGAATCTAAAGATTTAAAGTTGGCAGAGCCAGAAATTCCTCTGGGCCAGCTGGTCAACCCACCATCAGCACAGAAGGGGATTTGGAAATCCTAATTTCCCAGGCCCACTGACATTTTTCAGAGGGTAGATGCCAGTGCACAGCTGTAAGAAAAAGACAACAGCCTTTTCATAAAGAAACGCCAAGCAATTGAGTGTGGAACTCTACAATGAAAATCCTGGGCTTCTGAGGTGGTAAGCCTACAGTGTGCCATTTACTAGTGACATGGAGGGTCTGCATTTATTATGGGATGCCACTTGGTTCCCACCTCGACTTTTGTCTGCAGAATTATTACTAATATTATTCTCTTTTTATCATTCTTATCTCCTTTTCATCTATCTACTGATTTTACTCATGGAAGTTATACTTGTGACTTACCTGATTGGCATTTGTTTAGTGAAGGGTCATGTGGGGTGCCAAGAGCACCCAGATACAGTCACAGCATTGCTCACTAAGTATAAACCGATGCTCTTCCTTGATTCACCAACCCTAAAAAAAACAAAAAATGGAAGAATAGACAAAAATTATGGTGGCAGTACCATTACCATGATTACTATTTACTGAGCAACATAATATTACATGAAAATTAATCTCTCAGCTTATGAGCAGCTGAAGCAGATGGTACAAGAGTGTGTCAGTGGCATATGAAAACCTGATTTAAGGAGAAAAGATGGTTCTCATTAGAAAGAGGAAGTTTCCATTGTGATCTCCTTGCATCTCTCCATTAATCTTTATTGCAACAGTTTAATAGATAACCAATAATTACCTCCTCCCTACCTAGTGAGGTGACCCTCAGATCTCTCACAACCTGGTACCTGGTATTTCTTTCATGGAAAGAAAGATGTTTTATGGCAGGATACACAAGAGCTTTAAAAGCTAGCAAGGAAAGGCAGTGACTTAACTCACATTAAGGGAGGGATTGTCAGTGTCACCTAAGTTGCTGAGCAGCCATTTTGATAGCAGGAGGAGAAAAAGAAGAAAATGGGCTAAGAGGGAGTTTATGAGCTGAGGATCAGTTTCCTTAACCTTGCTGTTTTGCTTAGCTTGGATTTGTACCATGTCTCTTTAAGCAAGAGGACTGCTGAAGTACTTGACAGGAACATGCTCCCGAGTGCTTACATCCCAAGGAGACCACTGTTATAACTAGACCACTGCTCCTGGCTCACAAGGCCCGTGAGTTTAAGGATGGCTGACTCTCCTTTTCTTTTGCCCAAACTGAATACATCACTTTGAGTTCAGGGTCCAATCTTTCTCATTGAGGCCATGTGTGTGTGGTTAGAACTGCCATGAGGCTTTGGGTATGCACTTCAGGACACGAACTTGGATTAAATGAGTCCAAAGAATGTAGTTCAAGACCAGGTGTCCTAAATATTTTTTGAAATGGGCCAGATAATTTCAAACTTTATGGTTTCTGTCACAAGTCCTCAGCTGTGTCTTTGGGGCTCACAAGCAGCCATGCAGAAATGGCTATGTTCTGACACAATCTTAATTTAATCTATTTTCTTACATCATGAAGTATTCTTGTTTCGCTTGTTACCACAACCATTTAAAATGATGAAAACTACTGTTGGCTTGCTCATTACCAAAATAGGCAGCAGACCAGACTTGACCCTCAGATGGCAGATTACTCACCCCTGTCCTAGATCAGCAAGATTTGCAGGAGTGTAAGCTTTGCCAATGAGAATTAGAACATTCTCCTAAGGTTGAAAAGTCTGAATTAGAAAGATTCTTGAAAAGATGCATTTTCTTCTCAGAAAGGCTATCTTCCATCCAATTGCAAGTACGATTTTCAAGTTAGAAGCCTGCTTTTATGGACATGCAGAGCTCATTTGAAATGAGCAAGTATGAGCCATAAATAGAGAGGGAAAACATTCTTTTAAATAAACTCAAAGCAGTTCTTACTTTGTTTACATGGGTCCATTTCCAGAGGAAGTCCTTTCTTCCCAGGTCCCGCAAGGTCCATGTGAGCTCAGGCATGGGCATATTATCACCTTGAAGGCATATTTAGACCAAGAGCAATTTTACTGTGTGTTCGAATGGATGACGATGGCACATTCCATGGGGCCTCAGTCTTTCTATTCAGTAAGGGACAGTTTTGCAAAGACTTGTCACTTGGCTCAATTCAGCCTCACTCATACTGTGTTAATTTACCTCTCATCTTCCTGAAGTGGTTTATGTAAACTGATTAGAGCCCCAGAAACTTTACGAACATGCCAACACAAAGTGACAATAATATAGAGAAGATGAAGCAGGAAAGGGAAGGAAATCTAAAAGGAGCCAATTTTCTCAAAATACAGAAGGCTGGACCAAGAACCCGAGGAATAGCCAAAGGCTGTCCCTTCGGATCTCATCCTCCTGAGAGACACTTTCCAAAATGGAAACTGAAGCCCAGAGCAGTACTAACCTAGATGGGTAGAGTTTCCTAAACAACAAGATAATAGGAAAATGCCATTTCGAAAACACAAACTCAAATCTGCAAAAAGGCAAAATAAGGATTACACTGATTTTTCTGTTGGGGTTTTTATGCAACGGCACCATTCGGGGATGCGGTCATGACGCGCAGCACACAGGCCCTCACGGCCTTTCGGCATTGCCTTGCCATTCCTGGATCCCCAGAAGGAAAGCATTTGCAGGAATGGTTTAACTGACCCCATCTCTGTCCTTATTCAGACCACACCCCTGAACTGGAAAACCTCACCGTGATCGAGGTGGGCTGGGATGGCCTCAGACTCAACTGGACCGCAGCTGACCAGGCCTATGAGCACTTTGTCATTCAGGTGCAGGAGGCCAACAAGGTGGAGGCGGCTCAGAACCTCACGGTGCCCGGCAGCCTGCGGGCTGTGGACATCCCAGGCCTCAAGGCCGCCACCCCTTATAGAGTTACCATCTACGGGGTGATCCGGGGCTATAGGACACCAGTGCTCTCCGCTGAGGCCTCTACAGGTACCTTTTACCTTTCTGTCGGTAGCTTCTGTTTTCTCAACAGGAAACTGCCAAGGATGATCAGACGGGCTTGCTTTTGAATGGACTAGTTCTGCCCCAAGAACTAGTGCCTAAGAATGGGGAGCTGCCAGGCTGCAGGATCCAGGGGCAGCTTTCACACTGCACTGTGTGGGCCACACCCCGTGGAGTCCTGCAGAGCCCGGTCCATTCGTGCAACCCCAGTGGCAGGGACCTTGAGCTTCACAAGCAGGCTCCCTCTTGGTAAGGGAAGTTAAGGCATTTTACTTCAAAGTACACTAATCTCCTTGTCTACTGGAGATTAGAGCAATTTTTAATGAAGTAAGATAACCAATATTTTCCTACACTCTGTGCATCATGCAGCTTCCTAAATTTGTGAAATTTTATCTAAAGAAAGTCACATTTTCTAAAGCCAGATAATACCTATTCTTGTGTCAAAGCGTCCCTGGATCTCATGTGATTTGAGTATGAAACTAGTTCTTTGTCCTTCTCCAGGGGAAATTCCCAGTTTGGGAGAGGTCACCGTGTCCAAGGTGGGCTGGGACGCCCTCAAGCTCAACTGGACTGCTCCGGAAGGGGCCTATGCGCAGTTTCTTATCCAGGTGCAGGAGGCTGGCACAGGAGAGGCAGCCCAGAACCTCACAGTCCCGGGAGGGCTGAGGTCCGTGGACCTGCCCGGGCTCAAAGCAGCCACTCAGTATAGTGTCACCATCCGCGGGGTCATTGGGGACTCCAGCACAGCCCCTCTCTCTGTTGAAGTCTGGACAGGTATTCTAAACTCATTTACTCACTTGCTTCTTCCCATTGTCTCTGCTCAGGAGGGACACAGCTGCTCCCTGCTGTGAACCAGGCTCAGCCCCTACACTTGGGGGAAACCTGAGAATCACCCTGTTCCGTCCAAATGGCATATCCCTTGTACGGCCAAGTCCTAGCCCTAGCCGGGAAGCCAGTTCCATGGAGAACTCCACCTACTCTTCCTTTACAAAAGTGAGACGTGACTTTTCTTTCAAAGCAAGTTTCAGTGACAGTATTTCAGAAGTTGGAAAGCACAATTTGCAAATGGAAAAAATATTGGTCTGAGCTCATCTTAAGCACACACCGAAGGACTCCCCAAAGCCCCATTTGTATGTCCAAAATAGAAGTTGCAAACAATCCTTAGAACTATCTTTCATCCCCAAAGGCTGAATAGGGAAAGCCTGGCTTTAGTGCCAACTACTGGAGTGAGCTCAACAGTCTCAGTAAATAAATTACTGAAATCAACACTCCCCAGACAGCTCATCCCTTGCCCAAATGCCTTATTACCCGAATTCCAGTGTGCAGCTGCCCTTTTTAGTAACGCAGGAACTCTGTCTTATGCAGAAGAGGTTCCAGATCTGGGAAACCTCACAGTGACCGAGGTTAGCTGGGACGCGCTCAGGCTACACTGGACCAGCCCAGATGGGATCTATGAGCAGTTTGTCATTGAGGTCCAGGAGGCTGGCCAAGCCAAAGAAGTGCACAGCCTCACCGTTCTTGGCAGCCTGCGCTCCGTGGAAATCCCCGGCCTCACAGCTGGTACTCCTTATACAGTCACCCTGCACGGCGAGGTCAGGGGCCACAGTACTCGACCCCTTACTGCAGAGGTCATCACAGGTATTTGACCCTCCTCCAGATCAGGGATATGATTGAGCCAGTCTGTCTTGGGAACAGGGAAAACCCTTGTGGCAAGAGCTGATCCCAGTGCTGTTGAGAGGTAGTGGGAACGCAAGCTGTAACTCAAGGAGGTCTGGTTAGGAATTCCACCTTAACTGGCTGAGTATTCTTGGGGGTGTCATTTTCCATCTCTGAGCCTTCTTTTCTCATCTTCAAATCGCAGACAACACCCCTACCACAGAACACTCCCCTGAGCAGTAAATGAGAACATGAAAGTGATTAGCAAAGCGCCCATCCTCTAATAAACATTGAACAGCAAATAGCTACATTTATCAGATAACAACATCTTATGATTAAAAAATAGCATAGATTGTGGGGCTGTTGCACAAGAATAAAATTCAGAACTTTCTAGAGAAATCATACTGTTTGTGGCCTCAGAGTCATTCACTGCCATCCTCCTTGGAGTCAGATCTCTACAGAGTAACCTTTGAAATAATCTAAAATTGTCAAGTCTCTTTTTAAAAATATATTTTTACTGACTTCAGAGAAGAAGGGAGAGGGAGAGAGAAACATCAATGATGAGAAAGAGTCATTGATCGGCTGCCTCCTCTGCATGCCATCAAGTCCACAATCAGGACATGTCCATGACTAGGAATGGAACTGTGACCTCTAGGTTGATGCTCAACCACTGGGCAAGTCTCTCTCTCCTTAGCAGACACTCAAGGCAGGAACATTTCCAAGCCACATTCGACTTCAAGGTTTTTCTTTGATTTGGGGAGGAAAAACAATTCATCTCAATTTGCTCCCTGAAACTATGCTGCTCCATTTGCTACAGAAAACTCCATACTCTTCATGAGGTTTCTTGAAATAGCCTTCAAAGGAGCTGTGGGAAAATGGGTCAGATATTTGATAGTAGGATGATTATGCTGAGCCTTAAGCCCATGATATTTTCTACAGATTCCGTTTTGATAATACTGTCCAAATAAACTAAATCAAGGAATTGTTTTTCTTGCTCATATAGAACAAATCAAGTTGGTCCTTGCTAGAAACTGTACACAATTCCAAAAGTCAGAAAGGCAGCGTTACAATCCACCTGAGCTGGCCAGGTTGTCACTGTCCTGGGTTCCCTGGAGTAGCTTCAAACCAAAGCATAAAAGGGACCTTTGAGACAGACATAATCTGGGTGCAAGGTGCTCCTGCCTGCATCTGTAGTTGGTAAAGTTTCATTTTTAGCAGCAAAATCCCTTGGCACCTGAAATCTTATAAGGAACCCCATTTATGACAGCTAAACAAACAGCTGATCTTGGTGAGATGGGAAGGAGCTTGAGAGCTGCCTAGACCTAGGGCCAGAGCCCAGTTCTTCCAAAAAACACCAAGTCTTTGTGGAACATAGTTTGGAAACAGCCTCTCTAAATGGTCAGGTTTGCTCAGACTCGTGGTAAAACTCCTGCAGTTATTTTCATTTCGAACTTTGAATCCATGGCCACTTCAGCCTTCAAAAGAGAGGCTGAGAGATTTCACTTAACCCTGAGAAGCAGGGTTTCATTTGTTCCATATTTGAATCTAAACTTTCTAAAATTAGCTATAATAACTACATTAAATTTCCTTCCTACATTGTAGAGAAATAAACAGTGCTCTGCACCATTTACCAAGCAATAACCACTTCTCATTAAACGTGGGACCTCCCTTCACACAAAGGGCCTTGCTTCATAGTGCAGACATGCTTCATTCGGACACAGAGTTCTAGCAGAAGACCAAGAATCCCATACAGAACCTTTGATCCCCCAAAGCTGGGAAAAGTCCAGAGATAAGACATCAGACTTGTCTAAACCTAAGGCTTTAGAAACCCAGTCAGATAGCCTGTGGCCGGCAATGAGATGATCCCTTCGAGGGAGGTCAAGTGATGAAATAAAGTGGGAATTATCTCCCATAGAAATAAGAATTCCCAAGGGGAGAAATTGAAGGTTGGTTTGCCTGTGCATCTTTTTGCAGCAAGGAAAGTAAAGATTTATTTAAGGAAATGGCACCAACCCTGGTGACAAAGGTGAGCTAATGCTCTAAAACCTGGCTCCCCGGTGGCTTCTAGAAGATGGTTATATAAGGGGGAAAGCGAATCATGGCAACTAAAGGAGTGGGGCATGGGCTCTACTTGCCTGCTCAGGGCCGGGATAGAATGTAGTTGGTCATTGCATCTGGTCCCGACTTCAGCCATGGCGTCGCTCTGTCTGATTCTGAAAGTGTGTGGTCAGTAGGGTTTGTTCCACCTTCATGGATCTGGGACTGAAACATAACAGGTCAAGATGTTATCTTTAGTTGGACGAAAACTCTCTTGAACAAACCTGAGGCGTTATTCTTTAAGGGAGTTTGATGCTGACCAGAACCCAGTTGTCCTGAGGGCGCCAGGAAAAAGGAGTGGATGGCAGTGTGTGAAGGTGGAGGGGTCTGGTCGAAAGGAGGCAAGGGAGTCATGGTGTTGTTAAGACAGGGCGAAGCTGGCTTGAATTAGGGAAAAGGTCATTTTAAAGAAATGGTGTTCCTGTGTATTATAGTTACAGCATCAAGACAACGATGTACCCGTTAGGCTGCCAATTACCAGGCATTCACTGTGTGTCAGGTAGGACACTCAGAGGTTTATAAATAGCAGCACTTAATCATCACACAGTCCAAGGAAATGGTGCTGTCAGCTCCTTTTAAAGGTGAGGAGAGAGGCTCAGAGCTGAGTTGGGTGACATGCCAAAATTACACAGCTAGTAAACATCAGTAATGGAATTCTAACTAAGACCCGATACCTCCAAAGACTGCACCTCTATCCATTCCTACTTCCTGTATCCTGACAGACAATCCCACCTTTTCCAGTTGTCTTTTAAGTTCTGGCTATGTCTGCTCAGAGACCTCCCGGTAGGTGGTGCAGTGGTCCAGATGGCATTGCCAACGCAGGAATGAACAATGCAGATGTTCCTCTTTCTGCCCATTTTTAACTGCTGTGGCCAGGTTACCAGAGTTCAAAGGGAAAATACCCAGAGACCAAGAATGACCACACACACAAACACACACACACCATTCTCTCATCCCTTTCTCTCTTCCCTGGGCTGTGGGACATTTGGTTTCCTCATTTTTGGTTCACAGAACTGACACATACCTCTCTATCCTTCTTCAGAGGAGCTCCCAGAGCTGGGAGACTTAGTCGTGACTGTGGTGGCCTGGGATGGCCTCAAACTCAACTGGACCGCAGCTGACCAGGCCTATGAGCACTTTGTCATTCAGGTGCAGGAGGCCAACAAGGTGGAGGCGGCTCAGAACCTCACGGTGCCCGGCAGCCTGCGGGCTGTGGACATCCCAGGCCTCAAGGCTGCCACCCCTTATAGAGTTACCATCTACGGGGTGATCCGGGGCTATAGGACACCAGTGCTCTCCGCTGAGGCCTCCACAGGTACCTCCTTTCCATGTTGACGCTCTCTCCCCAGGTTCCCTGCTTTCTCTACGAGTGATCAGGGAGTCAGCTTCTCTCCATGTCTGAATCCCTTCCCTGTGCCCCTTAGCTGCCGGCTGTGCATGGTCCCTGGGGCTGTGCCTTGGTCCAGATGCCTTTGCATCCCGAGAATGAGCAATATAGATGTTGCCTTTTCTGACCTTCAGCTTCCAGCATCCCCCAGACTTTATCTAATTCTATAACACATCTCTCATCTCTATTAAATTCTCTCCAGTGCTTGGATATAAATAAAAGCTGACCCCTCCCATGTGTGAGTTATGGTGGAGCACAGATTACTTATTTTAGAGAGCCTTTTTGCTAGTTGGAAATCATCTTTTCCTATCCCAAACCCCTCAATGGTATGGACAAAAAATGTTTTAATTTAAATGTTTCTTTAAAATGCACTGAGTATAATAAGAGAACTGAATTACCCTCCCCTGGGGAATTCTCTCAGATACTGAGTCATTGTTAGAACATAAAATTAGCCAATAGCTAGACCAAAAGGGAGAAAGAAAATCCCACGAGTAGGACTGGAGACAGGACCAAAGAAAAAGCCATTCATTGACAGAAGTACACCCAGCAGCATCTGAAGCGAGGAATGTTCCGGCCATGAGTGTCGGGGACCTGGTGCCCTTTTTGCTCTTTTAATCAAGAGTTGCGCCCTGGAGTGTTGGCCTTTGGATGACACACTCCCAGCCTAGACCCAGGACAATGACTCGTAGTTGGCTCGTCACTCTGAGTGACAAGGCGTCCAGTGTTTCCCACAAGCCTGCCTGTGAGCAGCCTTCCAGCACGTTTGCCACTGTTCACCTTCCTATGGGCTGCCATTGCTGGAAGCTCAGTAGAGGCTGTGTTATTTGGTTTTGCATATGCCCCACTTTTAGATAATTATTGCAACAAAACTTTCATGCAAACCTGTATGTCCTAGTTGGTTCTATCAGAAATATAGCTCCACATTCTAGCCTCAGTCATTTTAGTAGCTCTTGCTGAGATGCACATGCAACACAGGCAAGTGCTGCATGAACTGCTTCAGTATTGCCACCTCGGCTGCTCTGGATGGACCTGCGGCTCATTTCATCCACATCCACAGACCATCCTCCTCAGAAGGCAGAGCAGTCGCCCTCAACTTCTGATCTCTCCTGCAGATCTTGCGGTTTGAGTGTTCTTCGTATTTTTATGGCTGTTTTTCTTTTTAGTGATAGCAACATTCTTGCTTCTGATGAGTCAGTATCAGGGGGAAGAGCCATAATTCTATCTGCTCTGTGTTTCAACAAATCCGCTGGGACGGGAAGGCCCTCTCCTTCCTTGCCAGGGAGACAGTATTAACTTTTCAATCCCCGCTCCTGCCTGCCCTCCGAATGGGTTATTCCCATTGCTCAGAAAAGCTCGGGCAGGACCATCTCCTAGACAAAATGTTATTTCTTGCCTTGGCTCTTGTCTCCTGGTTGGCAATGCTCTACTAGCCTTCTTGGCCCACATAGAAAGCAGTTAAGAGAGGACAAGCTATTTTAACAGACTGTGAGAACGGCTGGCCCTTGTCAGAGGATAAAGCAAGTCCCACGAATGACACTGACACATTGCCAATTTCCTTCAAGTCACAAAAATCAGCAGTCTCCAGGTACCATCTTGGGAGGGTGATGGCATCAGAATTATTTAATCTTCATTTGAATAGATGGGAGCTCCTCAAAGCAAAGGGTGCCTGCAGTAACCTTGGTCTCCTGAGTGCAAATCCGGAGCCAGGAAGCTGCCAGCACTCCTATCTTTTGACCGATGGCCAGCATCCCTGAGGTGGGGCTCCCGGGAGCATCTAGGCTTAGGCACAGCTGTCCAGCCCCATCATTCAGCATGTTTCTCACACTCCAGATCCGGCAGCCTGGCATGGGCAGCTCCAGAATGGGGAACTCTTAACTGCCATAACTTCCTTTTTGTATTTTTCTTTTAACTACCCCCCTTCCCTCCCTCGTGGGTGCTGATTGGTAACACTGCTGCATTTCACCATAACCCTCAGGTATCAGATCTTTCTACCCGACTGCGGTTCTATTAACAACCTCAACCTTAAGACACAGCCAAATGATTGACTCAAATTATTTGTTTCTTCTTTCCTCCCCCCCCCCTTTTTTTTTTCTTTTCAGCCGGAGAACCTGAAATTGGAAACTTAAACGTTTCCAACGTAACCCCTGAGAGCTTCAATCTGTCCTGGACAGCTACCAATGGCACCTTCGAGACCTTTACCATTGAAATTATTGATTCCAATAGGTTACTGGAGTCGGTGCAATACAAAATTTCTGGTGCTGAACGAACTGCCTACATCTCAGGGCTCAGCCCTAGTACTGATTTTATTATCTACCTCTCTGGACTTGCTCCCGGCATCCGGACCCAAACCATCAATGTCACAGTCACCACAGGTACACGTGCATGCTCCCATGTCTAATGCCCTCTTTCTCCAGGGTCTTCCTTGCAGGGTGCAGTCATTCCTGGCCCATTGATCCACAAGCCACAGTGCAGTGACTCCATGATGCCAAGCTCAAGGTTATTTAACAAAATTCTCTTCCAACAGCAGCCCAAGTGGTGCATTCGCCTTGCCTGCGTTATCACTGACTAGCACATTTGCAGAGTTAAAATGTATTTTGGTCCAGATTGCCATATAGAATCTGGAGAAAAGCATTCTCCCCTTCAGCAACAAAACAAAGCAAAAAATATCCATAATGATTTGTCCATGAGTTGGCAAGACATCCACATCCATCAAGAAGTCTTAAAAATCCTATTTTTGTTATTCTAGTATCTTTATCTTCCTACTGCCTTTGACCTCTTAATACCCAAACATCCTGATAGTTTCATGAAATTGTATTGGTGCTATTTATTTAATTGGGAAAACAATGAGAAAGGGCAGGTTCCTCCTCAGGCGTGCAGAGGAAATCATTCCATTCAGAACACCCCAATTCCAATGCCACCTCTAAGGGAAAAGACAGAACATGCTGTCTGGCCCCCAGAGCAGCGAATGGTAGATGGCAAACACAGAAGTAAGGTAGTCTTGTTTCAACCAGGAGCTTGCTTAACAAGAGGAAATGACTCTCACTTTAAATCTGTCTGCCTGTGACACACTCTGTGGCCAGTGTCCTGTGGCATGCCGCAAAAGAGAATAATCTAAATGAACTTGGAGAGTCTTTTCCATTCAAAATACACCCTCAGCACATTCGGAGACAGTGCCTTCTCTTAACAGATAACATAAGGCATTATCAACTGGAAGAAAAACGTTATTTGTGAAATAAACCTAGGAGAATCTCTTCTTATAGTCCACAACCTCCTATTCTGGGGAATTCAAGAAAAGAATAGACATTGTAGCATCAAAATGATCTCTCGTGTAAGTCCCCCTTGGTTGAGGGAGAGTCTGTTTTCATTCTATGTAAGACTACAGATTGTTATCAGCGTGGCTCACAGGAAAGTCAGCGGGCCAGCATTATCTCATTCTGCTCTCAGCCAGGGTCAAGTACTATAGCACAACCAGGGGAAGAAAATTAGTCACATGTATGTGAGTCTCATGGTTCAGACTGGTTTCCAACAAAGGACCTGTTCCTTTACCAGAGGGCAAAGTGTAAAACTTTACAGATTTAGTCATATGTGTTTTGATTTGGACCCTGTGAGAGTGTTTCAGATTGACACACTTTCCTATTTTTTCTTCCTCCTTGATTTAGTAGCCAAACCTCTCCTTAGCTCACTCTCTCACATGTGACCTGGGGCAGTGTATCCACCTGGTGGAAAGCTAGGAGTCTGCCTTTGATGGCTTTGTTAGAGAAGTTTGACATTCTGACCACCTCGAGGACCATGGTGCATTCTGTGCCTGTGGTGTCCCCATCTGTCATCGCCACCCTCACAGCTCCTTCCATTTACCCTGCCCACCTTCATAGGCTGATGGGCAGGCAGTCCAACAACCACAAGCATTTCCTGGGACCAGTTCTTCACTCTCCTTGAACTTCCTTTGAGGATTATAAAAAAAAAAAACACTTGCTCCCCATTTTTCATCCTCCTGGTTCTTCAATATCTTTCTTAAAATGTAATAGAGCCACCCAATCAGAACTTTAAAGATTAAGAAAATACTCTTACCCCAGTTAAGGAACTTTAATGTCATCTGCTGTTTCCTTAATATGCATTCGCATCTATAGTTGCTCTGTTTGGAAAGAGTTAACCTGACTAGCTTTGGTTGAATTTCTAAACCATCCTTTCATCTGATCTTGAATAATCGTTTCCAGTTCCTGCCATTATCATCTGCCTGTGGTCTTTCTAATCAGAGTTTGCCTGTGTCATATTGAACAAGGCATGTGCATGCCATCTCTGGTTCTTTGATCAGAATGCTCGACATTCTCTTTCTCTCCACAACGATTTTAAAAGTAGCACCACTAACAGCAGAGAAAAGACCTTAAAGCACACCCCAAGAACCACGTGAGAGGACCCAGTGGTCTCACCTTGTCCTTGAGCCTTCCTTGTGCCTGCATTCCCTACAGACTTTCCTTTTTTTGACATTAACTCGATCAAGCATGTTTTGTCATCCACTGAAATCTGTCACAAAGAGTCTCCCTCCTCATCCATCATCTTGTCAGAATCTTGGTGCATGTGGTGAATATTCAGAACATTCAATTTTGGAAAATGTCTTTCCTGGAAGCAGGCAGCATAGCAAGGCATTGTTTCAAAGAGTTAGACATGGTGGGAGAAAAATGTCTCTGGCTTGCATGGAACACTGCCTACCATTCTCTCTCAGCATCTTTCCTTGCACCTTACTTTTCAGCTTGGTTGCACCCTTTGAGAGATAGCTGGCAGGAAGGAGAGCTGGCAGTGAGGAGCCAGGCCTTACTCGGCATGTGAATGTGTTGGTACTGCCAGTCTCTTGTCCGGTCGCATGAAGAGAGTCCTAGCGTGCATCCTTAATTCAGGAGGTTGCTTCCACAGCCAAATACAGTCCCGCTTGGAGGACTTTACTTTTTGTAGGGTTGAGGACTCTGTCAGTTCTGTGGCTGCAAATTATGCCTCAAGCTGACTGCTAAGTAGGAAATCCCATCCCCATTACCTAGGGCTACATTCTGTTTCTGAGCCAGATCCTTTTTGTCCCTTGGGATTTTATGGCATCAAGTTATGCTGGGCAATTGTCCAGTTGAAATTTATACAAATGAGTCCCCTCCTCCCTTTGAATACAGTAGCTGCAGCCAAACAACTCCTAAGTCGTGGGAGGATTGGTCTGCTTCCTCCTAACCCTAAATCCTCATCCTCGTATCTCACCTTCTGGGGCTGCTGCCTCTCTAAAATGCAGGCTGGGCTGAACTTACTTCAGTGGTAGTAGTATTTGGTAAATATGCATTTAGGAGACCAGACCGGATGCATCCCAGTTAAAAACAATGCTCCCCCCCACCCATCCCTACCCCCACCCTCCCCACCCCCCCCACCCCCCACTTTAAAAACCAGTTGCTTTTATTCCTGGTTGTCTACACTTTAAGGGAAACTTAACCTCAGTGGAACCATCCACCTTTCCAAATTATCCACTAGGGGAATTTCCTAATCAGAAAAAGGCAGCGCCCGACGTAAAGTTTATCTCTCGTACACTGGAAATTTTTTAATGAAAGTAACTTCCACATTTAAAGCATTTGGGGTGAGATGTAGGTTTCCCTATGGCATATACCTTTGGGTTTCTAAGTACTGTTAAGAATTTCTCTTGAATGGAACCTTTAATTTGTACAATCCAAATAGATGTACAGAAGATTGGGTAAGGAAACTTCAAAGTAGATTTTCTAAGGCATGCTCAATGGCACACCAGCTTCTTGAGATGTTCAAAGAATATCCCTCATAAAAGGTACCCATAAATCAATAAGTTTATGAGATGCTGGGCTAACCAAAATGAAGGATTTTTTTTGTTGTTTGTTTTTTAACTGAGCCAGCATTTCAGAGACTTTAAAATGCAAGCATGCTTTGGGAATCTCTAGGGTGAGGCTAGTCTTCTGTGTTTGCCACATATACTTCATCAGGAAGCTGTCTTCTTGGAATAGCTTACAGAGCTAAGGCCCCATTACAGCCTGTGTCCTTGACACCCTTTGCATTAATCCTGTGTACAGCTTTTGTGGCTTCTTTGCTTTTTTTCATACATGACTAGCAGATGCTCATGTCTACACTTAAAGAGAATGCAAATCCATGCCTGCCGATGAAGCAGTGGAGCCTAACGTGCTACCTTTCAGCAACTATTTGGAGGGATGGATACTTCCATGTTCTGTGGCTACATTCTGAGAGGTCTACTGCTTCCTCTAATAATGTTTCTCTCCCTTTCTCTCTGCCCGTGTTCCTCTTCCTCTTCAGAGCCAGACCCAGAACTGGGCACGCTAATTCTTAGCAATATTACTTCTGACAGCTTCCACGTGTCATGGACCGCTCCGGCTGGGCCATTTGCAAAGATTGTTATCAATGTTAGCGATTCCTATGGGCTGCATGAGCCCCAGCAAATCACAGTCTCAGGAGATGCTCAGCATGCTCACGTCACCGGTTTGGTGGAGAACACTGGCTATGACGTTAGCGTGACAGGGACCACCTGGGCAGGGGAACCTACCAGACCCCTCACTGCCTTTGTTGTGACAGGTACTCATTCAAAGGTTCTCACTTGTTGCTTAGAATTCTGAGATGGGAAATGGGGGGATGGGAGGGAAGGAGGGAGAGGTGATAGACATTCTAAAGAGAAGTTGAACCCAAAACATAGTCTTCACTCCATATATAAATGTCTAAATGGAGAGCAAAGAATGATTTTAGGCAGCCACATTTAGGAACTTGAGACAATGAAGTCAACAGTATAAAACTTACATGGATATCTATGCTCAGTTTTATATGCTGCCTGATACGCAGTTTGGATATTCTGGCTCAAGAGTGACTTCTATGTTAATGTGGCCTAGGGCAGGAATTTGTCCATAGATCATGCTACATCAGGCAGGCAGACCATGACCTACCTGCCCCAGAAATGTAACAATTTATCATTTTCTTCTAAAAAAAAAAAAAGTTTAAAATTGACTTCATAACAAATTAATGAAGGCTCAACCTAGGAGATAAATTCCAAGCTTAATTAAACCTTACCCATCCATTAACTTGGCTTCTAACTTCTCTTTGAAGTACATAAAGAAATACTTTTCTATTTCCTCTCCTGAGATCATCCTAAATCAATGGCAAAGGCTGTAAATAGTGCCTATTTACCAAAATCTTTTCTGAAAAAGAGGAGAGCCAACTTTGCTATCCAGTTTTCACATTAAACCAGGAACCTCCTAGGGTCTAAATTATGGTAAATAAGAGATGTTAATAAGTTCAAATAAGTATTGAATTGAAGGCAACATAGTCCTACAAGAGGATTTTGAGGCCAGGCCTGCTGGTTCCTAAAGTCTCCTGCATCTTCTCAGTTATATAACCTCTTCTGGTTCTTAACTGCCTGAACTCAGTTTCCTTATATATGGGGAGAGGATACCACAGTGCCCACTGGCAGCCTTGTCACAGGAACTAAGTGGCTATGATGAGATTAACTGCCTGGCCCCCAGTTGGTATTTCACAGATGCCGGGTCCTCTCTGCTTTCTCCCAACACTACGAAGAAAGTGGTGTTCTTAATAATAAGTGGTAAACATAGATAGAAACCAAAGACCTGGGCAATCTGGACTTCCTATTATTTTAAAGAGAATCCCAAACATCTTTTAATGGGAGATCAAAAAGTAGTTATATATTCTGTCCTGCTATCTAATGTAAATCTAGTCCATCATATTGTCTTCATATGCAGACCATAGTACCTCCCTAGTAGGGCATGGAGGGCAGGCAGGGAGGCAGGAATATCTATGACATGAGAATCCCACTGCCCAGGAGAGGAGGAATGGCCAGCCACAGGTCCCGTCAGGCCCTGACTTGTAGCGTCTTAAAGGAGCTCCCACACACAGAACAGAGAGAAGGAGGTAGGGAAAGCTGGCTCTGGGAATCCTAGATCCAGTTACAGCATTGTCTCAGCTAATCCTTGAAGAAAAAAGCCTGCATCTTAAAAGAAGTATATTTTAATAAGAGGGGGAAAGCGAACACAGGGACTACAAATAGCAGGTCTTTGATAGACTAATTAGCCCGCACGCCCTCCTTTTCATCAGAATGCGCTGCTTTGACAGCGTGGAGGTGCAAAGAGGCAGCTCTCTAAGCGAGGCGCCGCTTGTCTAAACAAGACTCAGCCACGGAATTTGAGCCCCTTGTCTTACCGACAAGGAAGGCTGTTTGCATAGCCCACGTGATTTCATCTTTGTCTTTGATAGAGTTATGATTCTGGGGAGATCTTTACGTGGGGAAAAAAAAAAAAAGTCTCAAAATAAACACCAAGTGTTTCAACATAAGTTCAGAAAAGTCCAAGCCACAGAAAATTTCAGTCTCTGTTTAGGAGATGAGGGCATTTATTTACTTGTTCATTCACTCACCAAACACTTCTTTCTAAAACATTTTTCTTTACATCCCATGGATTAGGCTGTGGGCGTTAGTGTAGCGGTCATTTATCTCTTTGAAAGTTTCCATTTAGCTGCAGGGAAAAAGAAGGCTCTAAACTAGAGGCAGCTAAAACAGCCTTGGCCGAGGAATTCCCAAGCTCATGCCCCTCCGTAAAAAATAAATACATTCGCCATTACTGTGTTTTGTTTTGCTAGAGGGGAGGCTTTGGGCCTTCACTAATCCTGCTTATGCCTCGGGACTTTGCCAGCACTCGGGGGGGGGGCGGGGGGGGGGTTGACTAATGAGATGTTGGCTAAGGGTGTGGAAAGAACATTGAATTTGGAGTGTGATGACCTGGGTTGGATCTTAGCTGAGCCACCTAGTAGATATGTGAACTTGGAAGAGTCAATGACCTCCTTGTTACTTTAGATGTGATGGAGGGGGGAAGTACTGACAGATACTCAGCTTTTAAAAGCTCACTCATCTTGGGAATCCCAGTGTGTGGAAAGATCCCTTGGCACCTAAAAACTGTGAGTGCCAGGATGCAGATGTTTGGTGAATGAATGAACAAATGACGCTAATAGAACGTCCTGAAGATCCAGACATGTCCTTATCTCCTACTTTTATCCAGAAAAACAAATATCCAAAGAATACCAAGTCTTAGTATTTTTAACTGGCCATAACCACAGAAAATCTTACTTTCTCCTTTTATCTCAATTTGTGAATATGTGTCACTAATTGGCCTAATCAACTTGATTCATGGCCATTGGAGTCAGACAATCCTAAAAGACCTTGCTCTATCACATACTTAGCTATGTGAGTTGGCCAAGCCAATCAATCTCTTTGAAGCTCAATTTTCTTACCACTATGATGCAAATAATATCTACCTCATAAGCTTCTTATGAGATTATATAAGATACCATCATCTGGCATCTAAACTCTTCCTGATATGCATTTGCTGAGCATGTAATACATGTACTGGTTGACGGGATATCTGCAGTGTTTGCAGAAACTTGTGCTGTCCTGGCAGAGTCAGTGCTGCTAACCTGAGTTCTTTTCACTCCTCCCTTCTTTCAGAGGCTCTGCCCCTTCTGGAAAACCTAACCATTTCCGACATTAATCCCTACGGGTTCACAGTTTCCTGGATGGCATCGGAGAATGCCTTTGACAGCTTCCTAGTAACGGTGGTGGATTCAGGGAAGCTGCTGGATCCCCAGGAATTCACACTTTCAGGAACCCAAAGGAAGCTGGAGCTCAGAGGCCTCATAACCGGCATTGGCTATGAGGTTGTGGTCTCTGGCTTCACCCAAGGGCACCAAACCAAGCCCTTGAGGGCTGAGATTGTTACAGGTATTTTGATTCAAGTGAGCCATTTTCCTCCCTTCCTGGTTTCCTACCATGTAACCTATGTACCGGATCACCATGGTTTTAACATCCTTGTCCACGTGCTCTACTTAATTCATAGATGTGGCCTGTTCTTTTATGTCACCACCCCATGTTCTCCCTTGTCTTATGTCTCTAATGAGCACTCCCCCTCTCCCACTCCAGAAATGAGATGTTTCCAAATGTTTCCACTTCATGTTCCAAATCCTTTAGACCATGACTTATCCCTAGCTCTTCTGTGTTTACTCTCCATCACCTTCCCCTCTGCTCATCCTAGCTGGTTCCCAGCTGCATTTCAGCATTCTCAGGAAATATGCCAATGAGTATATTTCAAAAATTACAACACTTACCATCTCCAAGGTTCAACTGTAATCTCCATAAACTTACCAGGTGGGCTCGTTATTGGAAAACCAATGATCAACTTATTATCTTGGTAATCACTAATATCCTAGATATTCTTCAACACAGACTAAATCCATAATTTTCTCGAGACTAGTCATTCCTAGAGAAGTAGAGAATTAACAACATTAACATTCAAAATCTGTGTTTCCCAAAGTTTTTCTAGAGATTACTACTTCCATAGAATTTTTCAAGCCCCACTTGGTGAAACCATGTTCAAATAAGTTTTGGAAACACTAACTTAAAACAGGATCCTTGACCATAAGGCTTTATAGAACATCCAAATATGCATGTGTCTCTCCAAGAGGGACTTACCCAGGCAGTATTTCCCAAGCTTATTGGATAGTGGATACCTTTTAAGGAAGAAGATCAAGCAGGAATAGTGTGCTGTGAGTATACTTTGGGAAACTCAGCTATAGATTTATCTTGACATTGAGTTTTGTCTATTTCAGGCAATCCAGATAATACCTTGCGTCCAAAGTATCTAGCACAAGAGGTTCCAAGCCTTAGTTCTACCATCTTAACATATATCTAATGGTTAAAGCAAGCAAGTCAAGAGTAGGAGCCTTCTTCAGTAAAACCGCTCCAAGAAAAAAGCCAAAAGATCATAATATTTACATCATTTTAAAAGCCATTTTGCTCATGATCAAGGGAAATATAATCAGCGGTATCATCATAGGCAGCTCTACAGATCATTAAAGCTGGTTTATTTGTCTTTTCAAAAAGAAAAGAAAAAGATCTCACAGAGGAGGATGGGCACTCGGCCACTGGAAGACAGAGAGCAAATGTAAACAAGTTCCTGGCTTTGAACTTGTTTAATAAGGCAGGGGAGGGTCCAATGCTGAGTCCAGATGTGGATTTATAGGATTGCTTTTAGACAAAACTCACATATGTTAGCGTCCACTCAGTTTGTATTAAATGTGTCAAGACCATCTTTTCCTTCTCCTAGGCCTGCTAGACTTGCTTATGTTGAATGATTTTCCTTTCGATCTCTCAGGACATCACTGCATACTGACATCCCCCTTGGAGAGAAGATGACACACACTGATAAATGATGTTTTCTTTCCTCCTACCACCATTTTCTCCCCTTCTAGAAGCCGAGCCAGAAGTCGACAACCTTCTGGTTTCAGATGCCACCCCAGACGGGTTCCGTCTGTCCTGGACAGCTGATGAAGGGGTCTTCGACAGTTTTGTTCTCAAAATCAGAGATACCAAAAAGCAGTCTGAGCCACTGGAAATAACCCTCCTTGCCCCCGAACGTACCAGGGACATAACGGGTCTCAGAGAGGCCACCGCCTACGAAATTGAGCTCTATGGCATAAGCAGTGGAAGGCGATCCCAGCCAGTCAGTGCTATAGCAACCACAGGTACCGTACAGAAACAGGAGAGGACGGAGCAGAGTCTCCACCTGGGGGCTTCTCCTCACAGGGCTGGGAAATCACAGGGGCTTTGGGTGCAGACAAGCTCTCAATGAGATCCTGGCTCTCTTGATTATAGAAGGGGTGACAGTGGGCAATTTGACTAAGTCTTTACACAAAAAGAATCTGACGCCATTTAATTAATAGTGTTATGAGGATTAAATGAGATAATTCATGAAAAACTCAAAGCAGAAGGGCTGGCACATAGCAAATGAGATATATTTACATATTCATTATCATTAATATATCATCATTACAATGATGGCATTTTTTTTCCATTCCAAAGACTTATTCTACCTATTATCTCATCATTTTTTATCCAGAGATACACTTCGTCATTCTTTGGTCAAATGTTCAAACTATACTATGCTAACTATAACTATAACTATACTAAGGATAATGGGGTACCTCCCCTATAAAAATTAATATATATATGAAATCCATGTGTGAATAATCAGTACCATGATCTGGTACTGAAGGGGGAAGCTGGCAAGGTTAGGGGCTGCTCTTTGGGAAGGTTGCTGATTTTATTCGATACTTACAGCAGCTCTAAAATCCATAGGAGGAGGAAATGAAAATCCCTTTCCATATGAGTTGTTTTAAGTAGAATAAAGGAAGAGGGTTAATAGCCGACTTATTATAATGATAATATGAAAACTAAAATGGCTCTTTAGAAGGAAAAGGAAAGGCCTACCACAGGTGGGTGAATTCCTTCTCAGGACTGAGGGCAGTGGAGCATAGAGATGGTTGTTGAAAGAGGAAGCAGAGGGAAAGAATCACAAAACCACAGAAGTGGTCGGAGGGAACAGAGAACCGATGTAGCCCAGCCTCTTCTGCTTGTGCATCTTGTGAAGAATCTGAGGCCCAGAAAGTCTAAAGTCACACAACTTGATTGGTGGTAGACCCAAATTCCAACTTATTTTAATACTATTAACTATAAGCAGGCTAATGACAGATAATCAATGACTATACCGGGGTAGGCAAAATAGGTTCACAGTTGTGAGTACAGAAACAAAGTTTATTCTTGCATTATTATTTAATAATTATATCACTAACCATACACACAACTGTGAACCACTTTTGTCCACCCTGCACATACTTGCCATCTCTGATAGGCATGGAGTGTAACACTGGCCCAAACCTTCTCTTTGCTCAGAGATGGGTATTTTGTGATGTAAAGTTTCAGGGCCTAATGAGCTCCAAGAAGCCCCTATAGAAATTACGACCAATGTTTGTAGACGTGGATGAAATGCTGAATCCAGGCAGCCATTCAGCCAAGGGGGAAAGCCCGTTCCTTATTAACAAGGACACCCCACCCCGGGATGTGGGTCTGTGTCCTCCCGCTCCCCATGGCTGCCTGCAAAACAACTGCAGATCAGAGGCAGAGCCCGGTTTTGACCTTGGTTTATAAACACTGTTTCTCAAAGTTTACTTCAGATTGATTTTGTTTTGCTGGTCTTTTCTGGAAGCCCTGCAGTTCTAAAGCCAAAGGAGAATGAATAATCATGATTCAAGAAAAGGCAGACCCTACTTTTTTTTTTGGAAAGCCCTTTGTGGGCACCATCTTGGGGTGCGGGGGGTGGGTGTCAGTATAGACATAAAATAGTTTAAATTTCAGTCACAAAGTAAAATGATTCTCATTCTTTTCTGGAGGTTCTTTAACCTGTCCCCTTTGGGAGTCTCAGACATGTACCCCCAAGACCAATGGGGGTGGTCAACACCCCTTTTCCCAGAATGTTTCCCTTCCCACTGCACCCCACCCTTCCCAGCCAAACAGCCTCTTAACTTCTCTACTCAGTTCTAGTTCAGATGCATTTGAAACCACACACCTCAGTGTTGCAATAACATTGTGTCTGGAGCCTGGGTCAACGTGTCTACAGAGACACTTGCTTGGGAATCCTCCTTTCTCTCTGACCCAGGCTCCTCATGTGGAAGGAGACATGCTACAATAACAAACAGCAGTCCACACTTAGGTAGGCCTGTGGTCCAAAAATACCACACACACTTACCCTGAAATTCCACCACTACTGTGGATTCAGGAGTGCATGATGGACAAGGCTACTGATGCCGTGGTTTCTCAGATGGGCCGGATCGTATTGCCACTTTACAGAGGAACACTAGGGTCTAGTGTAGGAAGCTGTGGTCTCAAGATACACCTTCTAAAATGGCCAGGACCTGCCTCAGGGAGGTTGGCAGGAGAGCCACAGTGCCTGAGTTTACACCCTCCCTGGGGTTTGTTTCTCAGCTGGCCTCACCTATATCTTTCCTGGGGGCTGATTCAGAATCCAGGGTGGCCCAGGGCAGAGTCACATGAGAAAGAAATTAAAGAAAGGGCATGTTTACCGAGTTCTTGATGCATGCCAGATATACCCATTGTGTCTGTTTATCCTCAAACATTCCTGAAGGTCAGCACCTTTTATCACGGGACAGGTGAAGCAGCTGAGGCTCACGGAAGTGAAGGGTCCTGCCCAGGTTGTCCAGGCTCTCTGTGGTATTGGTACAATCAGATCAGACAGGCTCCAGAGCTCTTGTGGTTTCCAAAGCTCTCCCAGGAGAGGACAGAACCCCAGGCAGCCGCAGAGACTGAAGGGCTACCAGGTTGCAAGAGAAAGCCAAGGAGGAGAGAAAAGGACAGAAATGGAGAGAGGGAAAACCCTCTCCAAAGTGGTCTGTGGGTTTTAAAACTTAATGATCAACGTGGGTTGGAGAGAGGAACAGATGAAGTGAGATCCCTGGAGACCTGAAAACTGTTTCCTGGATTCTCTGAAGCACAGTCCGCTAAAGAGGGCAGAAGGCCAAGCCAAAACACAGAGAAAGCCAAAGGACACTGGATGTCAGGGAGGCACAGCTCGCCCACAGGTAGACCCAATGTCCAGGGTGTTTGCCTTGGTGAGGAGCCCAAGGTTCCTCCCCTGGCTCTGGACCTCCATCCAGTTCTGGGAACGCATTTGCTGAGGTCAGTATCCATGTGAACATTATTTCCAGAACTCTGGGGTTGCGCTCAGTTCTGCTGCCCAGTCCTGGGCCCCAGAAGGGTCACAGCACAAGAATGTTCATTGGAAACCCGAGCCTCGGTTTCCTCCTTGTCAAATGGGTAATCATAACCTTCCTCTCGGAGCTTTCTAAATAAGAGTTAAATCTTATTAGTTGCAAAGAACTATACAGTTGTCTAGTCTTGGTACCCTTTGATAAAAGGAGCTACAAAACCACGATGTTTAAAAATGCTAAAATCCAGAATTAAAGGAGGGTGTGTTGCCCACACTTCCTTAGACATCAGCTGCAGGGCTAACATTCTCCCGGAATGAAACCAAGTGGAGGTCTATAGCCCTGGGCCCTGTACCTGAATGAAAGGAGGGTTGTTCCTATCAAGTCATAACTTGACCACAGAGCACTACACTCTCTATCCTAAAGGCCTGGCCCAGACACAGATGGGGGCTGAATTTTCCTGGAAAAGGAGGATTCCAGGAAGCATCTTTGGTGAGCAAGGTAGTTAACCATTTGTGCATTTCCCCTGTGTTTTCTCCGTGACAGCCATGGGCTCTCCAAAGGAAATCATTTTCTCTGACATCACTGAAGACTCGGCTATTGTCAGCTGGATGGCGCCCAACGCCCAAGTGGAGAGCTTCCGGATTACCTATGTGCCCATTGCCGGAGGTAACAGCCTGGGGAAGGGACGGGAGGAGAAGCCTGCGGGGTTTGTGTGAAATAATGAAGAGGCCATTCCTCTCCTTCCCAGCATCATGGCCACCCTGATGTTTGAGGCCATCGGGATAGACTTCACTTGTAAAATCACTTAGAAGACATGACCTTGGGAGGGTAATTTTAGGAAGACACTTACCAGTGCTGACATTCTAACATCTCTGAGAAACAGGCCCTCAATATTGCGTCCACACAATAACCTTCTCTCTCAGCATGTTCATTTGGAAAGCTGGTCCTCACTGGCTGAATGTGAGATTTTGCCTTGTGTCTGTCTTTCAGGAAAGGGTGGGAAGTTGTGACTCAGTAGAACTGGGAGTTCTCATTTAGCATGGGCTGTAACAGAGACCACGGAGGAAATATCATCTAATCTGTCTAAAACATATCCATCAGGTAGTGAGCTACTGTAGTGGCAGTGTACATGGAGAGAATGCTGGACAGCCTCTTCATAGGAATGCTATGCTACATGTAGTGTCTCTGTAGGGAGTTTGGCCAGGATGTCCAAGCTCCTGACCAGCCCTGAAATTCTAAGAAATATAAATTTTGGACTTTTTAATAGCTATAGGAGTACAAACTTGACCATGACTGACTTCTTAAAGAATAGAACCTCAGCTAGTAAGGGAGCATACATATCCCTAGCCTAAGACAGTAGGGGTTAAATATATTAGATATGTCGCATAGTGAGCTTGCCATATTCTCTGTGAGAAAAATAAATGAAATTTACTCAACATGACAGCTCTTTACTGAACGGAAATTTGCCACTTTTAGCACATTGTGAGCATGTTTTTCCTCTCCTGGCTTAGTTTTTGGCATCTGCTTGAATGGAAAAAAAATTATATAAAAAGTAAGAACTCCTCTCTTATGCCAGAGGGTAGGAGCAAATGAGAAGTCAAGAAAATGGCATTAGATAAAGATGCAGTGTCATTTCCGAGTTGGATATGCCCATTCGTGGCGGCAATAGTGAGTAGGTTTCAGGGAGGCTCAGCAGTCCACATGTTGCTTTCACTGTGTTCCAGGTACGCCCTCCACTGTCACTGTGGATGGAACCAAGACTCAGACCAAGCTGACGACACTCTTACCTGGAGCCGAGTACCTGGTCAGCATCGTGGCCATGAAAGGCTTTGAGGAGAGCGAGCCCGTCTCGGGGACATTCACCACAGGTGAGTTCTCGCCTTCAGCATTATTGCTGGTGGCTCAGCAGCCAGAAAATGTTTTTACTTACAAATCTTAGTGGGGAGTGGACTGGACTCACCATAAGTCTCATTTCTGGTCCATCCCCAGCTTCTCATGGGCTGAGGATCCTTGACTTCATCCATAACCTCGCTGGGCTTCCAATTCCTGGGGCCATGTGGAAGAAAAAGCACAGTTTTGGAGTCATCCTGACCCAAGTTGAAATCTCAAGTCAACCACTTACTTCTAGATATATGAGTGCTCAGTTCATTTTTCTGAGCTCTACTTTCCTTCTCTATGAAATGGGTACAATTCTGCTTCCTTTGCTGTAAGGATCACATGGAGCTATATAGGTAAAGCATCTATAATATGACTTTGCACAGTCGGCCTCCTCCCCTCCCTGGCCTGGTACCTGGGAATCACAAGGGATCTGCAATGGTGACAGCTGCAAAGTAACTGCTCTCAACTGTTACTAATCCCTGTGTGGTGGCACCACTAAAATGGCTGATATCATTCCCATTTTACAGAGGAAACCATTGAGCCTTAGGGCCCTATAAATCGGAAATGCTGGAAGCAAATTTGAACTGAGGTCAGTTTGACTCCAAACTCTGTGTTCTCCTAAAATAAAGGATCATTTTCCTATTATAACCTGATCTGGGCAGCACACTGTAAGGGGGGAAATAATAATTGCACTGAAGGAGAATGAAGTGGAAAATTTCTCTTCAGGCAGCCATGTCTCTAAACAATTGATCCTTTGATGGGTGAACAATTATCCAGCCTAATCCATTCAAGGATGCAAAGAATGGGCCTCACAGAAGTTCTTAAAAACATTCTCATATCCTCAAAGAGTTTATAATATTAAATTAAAACATCCCATCTGAACCCAGAGTCCTGTCCACCCTTATTTCCCCATAGAAATCTTTCATTCATGGATTTGTGGCAAGAGTCAGATGCCTTTCTTCCTAGGCCCCATTGTCCTGGTCAGTGGCAGGAGGGTCTGAACAGGCCTGGGGGAAATTAGGAAGGAGCTTGGAGCCGATGGTGTGGGCCCCCCAAATCACTCTGCTCTCCTGACTAGGAGGCCATTCCTGGCATCTCTTGGGGCTAAGGCATGTCATCTGTAAACAAGCTCCTGACAGCAGCCTCTGCTCCAGGCTGTGGTCCTGGGATAGTTGATTGGTAAATAGTTTAGTAGAACTTGCTTTCTGAGAAAGCAGTGCTAGGTAGCAACAGTGATCAGTCCTGTGAATATCCATCCTTTCTCAGGACGAATCATTTGAGGATCATGTCTACTTTATCATAAACTCTTTGAGACTATTATGATATCAAATAACTTTAATAGTCTATTAATAACACCCCTTAGCACATATCACACACTTTGTCTAGTTCATGCTTACAGCAGGAAGCCTGGACGACTGAAGAAAGAGAGGTTTGGAGAAGAGAAATGACTTAGGCCACACAGACCCCAGACAGAGAAGCCATGGTAGAACACAGACCCCCAGCCTCCAAAGCCTTGGTCCATGTCATCTACAAGCCATCTAACCAGGGCTCTCAAAGCTCAGAAAAGCCTCGGGCAGCCTTCACTCTGAAAGTCCCTCTGTTTTTGAAGGTTCTTTCACTTGGGAAAGAGATATGAAATGTGATAACCCTCGTCATTGTGTGTTCAGCCTTTCCATTTTATATAGCGTCTCTCAACCTATAATGTCATATGACAATCAGAAGAACACTGAGGATATAGCCAGACAGAATTACAGACTCAAAGCCAGAAAGGGAAGAAGTTGTGACTCAAACCCAGGTTCCCTTGGCTCCAAGCTTGGGACTAGAAACCTTCCATGCAGCTGACACTGTCCCAAACCAGGAGTCACAAGCAGCATAGACAGCTGTGGTCTGAGGTCCTACCCAAGGCTGCTTATCTCTCTAACACATTACTGTCTCTCTCTGCAGCTCTGGACAGCCCATCTGGCCTGGTGACAGCCAACATCACCGACTCTGAAGCCTTGGCCATGTGGCAGCCAGCCATCGCCCCCGTGGACAGCTACGTCATCTCCTACACAGGGGAAAGAGGTGAGCTCGTGTCCAAGTCCCTCCCCATTCTGAGGATGTCTGCTCTGGCTGTAAACTCTCCCCATTCTCCTTCTCTGGCCACATTCGGTAAAGGACGACAGAAATGCATGGGAAGCTGGGAAGGCCAGCAGTGACTCTCAATTGCCACCGCAGAACAGAGCCTGGGGCTGGAGCTGGGGGTGGGTGTGGAAGGTCAGGGGGAGGCAAGGAGGCCCTGCCCATAATCCTCTGCTTATTGTCAAGTGAAAGAGCTTCCATGTTGTAGTTACATCAAGGGAATCCAGTAAGGCATTTAAGGAAACCAAAATGGACCACCCTGAGCCTGTCCATGCTGCGGCAGTCTGTCCTCTCCTGCGAAGGTCTCCACTTGTTGACATGAGCACCCTCCCTAGGAGGCAGCTCTCATCTCTTACAGAGAAGGAGTCCAGACCTCAAATCTTAAGCAGGCTGTGTCAGGTGGTACTGGGGAGTCTGGGCTTCTCAGAGGCCTCAGAGAAAGCCAGAGATAGCAAATTTGACTGTGAAATCCTTGTCTTTGCAGGCATCTTTGCTAATTTACTCAGTTGGCAAATTAAACACTTGTTTGGGGGCACTAGCATACAGCGCCAGAACATTAAACTCATATCCAAATAAAAGAGGGAAGAAAGAGCGATAGAATCCTTTCCACTGAATGAACCTATACTTTTGTAATGAGCTTTCAGGGAATAGTGTTACTATTTTCATCTCAATGCAAATGTAAGTTTTATATCTGAGGGCTCAGTATTATTTTACCTTCAGTGACAATAGGAAAAGGTACCATAATCTGTCCTGGGGCCTCTGAGCATCTTAATTCAGACCCTGCAGCCACCTGAGAGAGTGCTTTGTGAGGACAGAGCTTGGGGAATGAAGGGGAGAAAAGGTTTTTGCATTGATTTTTTTAAAAAATATGTTTTTATTGATTTTTTTAAATATATATTTTATTGATTTTTCACAGAGAGGAAGAGAGAGGGACAGAGAGTCAGAAACATAGATGAGAGAGAGTCATCGATCAGCTGCCTCTGCACAACCCCCACTGGGGATATGCCCACAACCACAGAACATGCCCTTGACTGGAATCGAACCCAGGACCCTTCAGTCCGCAGACCGATGCTCTATCCATTGAGCCAAACCAGTTTTGGCATGTTTTTATTGATTTCTAAGAGGAAGGGAAAAGGAGAGAGATAGAAACATTAATGATGACAGGAACATCATTGATCAGCTACCTCCTGCCTATCGCCTACTGGGGATCGAGCCTACAACCTGAGCATATGCTCTGACTTCATGGGTCAATGCTCAACCACTGAGCCATAACAGCCAGACTGCATATATTTTATTCTTCAAGTTGTAAATATTCTCTACACAGAGACTCTGAAGAGTCCTAGAAGATAGTATTGTCTCACCAAAAATACATCAGGGTACAGTTCAGAGGAATCACGGATATGCTGGCTGCCTGGAAAAGAGCTTGTTGTAGGGGGTGGCGTGGGAGGTTAATACATGATGTAGTAGGGTGACCAACTCTACCAATTTGTCCAGGGCATTCCCAGTTTTAGCGCTAAAAGCCCCACATTCTGGGGAGCTCCTCAGTCCCTGGCTTGTTTGAGTTGTTGGTCCCAGTGGGTGGAAATGAACACACTCACACACCTGGGCCCTGGTGTTTGGTCTCCACATCAGACCTGACACAACGAGTCTCAGAGTCAGTAACCTCTGCTGGCTTGTCTGCTGACTGACTTTTGAGGTCCCCCCGTCCAATGATTTGACAACATTTGGCAAATTATAAAAGCACATGAAAATAAGTAAAAGAGAGATAAGGCCTAAGACATTAAACGTGCCCAAGGCTCAGAGATAGTACCTGCTCCTCTGCTCTGGCGGATTCCTCTGTCCCAGCAACAGCTGCTGGAAAATTCTCCTGACCTCCAGTTCTCCTTCCTTCTGATTTAGTGCCTGAAAAAAAAATCAGTCTCCGTATCATAAATCTTTTGTATGTGAGGTGAGCGCTCGGGAGAGAGAAAGGGGTGTGAGGCATTTCTGTGGAGTCACTGAAAGTGTGTGTGTTAGGAGGAGCCTGCTGATGGCTCGGACCAGAAGCAGTAACTGCCTGGGTTTGTGTATTTCATGTTCAGTGCCAGAGATCACACGGACGGTGTCCGGGAACACGGTGGAGTACGTGCTGACCAACCTGGAGCCTGCCACGGAGTACACGCTGAGGGTCTTCGCAGAAAAAGGGCCCCAGAAGAGCTCCACCATCAGCACCAGGTTCACAACAGGTACCAGACACCAAGAGCGGGAAGATGCCCAGCCATGGCCCTTCTGAAACAGCCACTCTCTCCAACTTCCTAAGACAGGTCCTGGAAGGGGTGCTCAGCGTCAGCCACAGCAACCACTGCCCATTCCACCAGGACTTGAAGCAGCATCCAGGTCCTTGTGAACTGAAATGACCTGCTCTCCCCAGGGACTAGGAAAAGATTTTAAGAGCTTTTAAGTGGAAAACCAGACCCCCAGTGGAAATCCAGTATTTAACGACCCATGTTCTAGGGAAATATTCTAAGAGAAGGATTTTTCCAGGCAAGTTTTCGTAGATGGCTGTTGGGTTTTTATACACAGATCTCTTTACACACAGTCAGGAGGATGGCCTTGGAGGAGACCCCTCTCAGGTATGAGCACAATCAGCATCCATCTGTCTTCTTTAGGAATAAGGGACATTAGTAAATGTGTTTACAGCTCTGTATTTCTCTCCCCATCCAAGTAAGGCCATGCTGGGCTCAGAAAAACGTGGCCCCTGGGATGAGATGAACCCCAGAGAATCTGTGTCATAAAGGACATGGTGGGGAAGGACGTGGCCCCAGGCCTCCTGATGCCCGGCCAGGGATTTTTGTTGTACACTTGCCGGTTTATTGCTATGGATTGTCTTCTCTTCTCCAGACCTGGATTCTCCCAGAGACTTGACGGCTACTGAGATCCAGTCAGAAACTGCCCTCCTCACTTGGCGAGCTCCCCGGGCACCTGTCACTGGTTACTTACTGGTGTATGAATCCGTGGACGGTACAATCAAGGTACAATGAACATATAAACAACTCCCCACGGCTGGTTGAAATGTTTACATTATCCTCAAAGAAGGGAAGAATGATCTTGGTGTGTTTCTCTACTCAGTGCAACTGGGAAAGTGAAAAAACACGAACAGGTCCTGGATGCCAGACCTTGTGAGTCACTGGCTCCAGCCTCTCATTTTTACCAGGCTCCTGAGTCGGTAGCCAGCCAAGGTCAAGAGTCATGCTGAGAAGATGAGAACATTTTAGGCGCTGGATTCTTGGTCCTTTAATATTTTACAGTTTACAGAAATGGTTCATACTATTTACTTACTCTACCCACAAACTTCTTTTACTTTGTAATTTGAAATGACTTCAGACCTTCCCACAAGTGAAATTTTTCCAAACTGAACTTGTTACTGAGTTTGTAATTTCGGTCACCGTTCTTTATATTCTCAGGATCTTTTACTTATTCTCTGCATGTTCATCCATTTCTTGTTTGTGTTCCCTACATCGTCTTCTCTTTAGCTAGGAGGGTATATATTGCTGTGATTTTATTCCACAACCTGCGTAGCTCTTCCTTCTGCTTTGCTGCCACTGGTTTGGTTGAGGTCTCTACTGTTCCTGTTGGAGAGGCCCCACAATGTCTGTCTTTACTTTCATGCTGGGGCCAAGAAGGAAGCTGCTGATTGGGAAGTCCAATTATACCTTCAGGCTTGTGGATGTTCGGACTCACCACAGAGTGATGGGGCAAGTGCCCAGCAATCTCTAGGGGGGCTCCCAAGTATCAGTGCTGTCAGCCTTTTCACTTGAGCTACTCTGTCTCCCCAGAGGATCCCCCAACTCTGCCAGGCCCGGCTGCCGGGAGCCTCGCTGGAGAAAGAGTGTGCGGGCTTGGGTCTAGGGTGACACCAGGGCCTCCCCTGCAGCTGGCCCTGGTGAACCTGAATGCAGAGTCTGCCTGGCTCAGCCTTTCCAGGGACTAAACATCAGCCTTCTGTCTGGATGTGAAGGACAGTGTGCAGATTGTCAGAGCTGGAAATCTGTTTCTTGTGCAGTTTTAAACAAACTGTTATTCAGCCATGCCCCATACTGGCCTTCAGCAGCATCTTTGCTTTTGCATACATCCCATTCCTGAACCTGCCAGACTCTGGGGCATCATCATGGAGCCTCTGCCAACCTCTGCCTCCCTCAAACCCCGGCTCGCTCCATTCTGCCCCTCCATGTCCTTGCACCGCACACTTTTCGTCTACCAGGATCCTGTTGACATCACAGGCTTGTGGCTGTCTCCTTGGCCCTTTCCCTCACTTTGGGGGTTTATAGTTTATATCCATTTACCATCATTTTACTGGGCATCAGAAGCATGTCTGCTCTGCCATGCTTAACCAGAAGTGGACACGCATTTCTGGTTCCTCTAACGGCCCCTCTAAGAGTCGGTAGAACAATGCATTCCCTCCCTGTGTGAACAGAGGCATGTCCTGCTCTCTCTGGATGACAGTGTCCACATCCATAGAACGAGTGCATTGGGCCCACCTTCTCTGGGCCCTTCCTCATCAGGCGTTCTAGGACTTGGTGTTTACCTGCAGTCCTGAGTCTCATTTCAGTGCATCCTAATTGCCTAGAGAACTGATAGGTAATTGTATCCCCAAGTAATTCAATGAGCCCAGCTTTGTACCTGATCCTTCCCGAAGGGCCAGACCTAGGGGCCACACGAAGGTCACTGGGTCACTGGTATCAATTGAGCACTTACCCTGGTTTACAGTCCTGTATGTCCAATCCCCAGCATTGTGTGTTTCACTCAAGAAAAGCAAGGCCTGGCTGGTGTGGCTCAGTGGCTGAGCATCGACCCAGGCTCTAGGAGGTCACTGGTTTAAGTTTCGGTCAGGGCACATGCCCAGGCTTGGTCCCCAATAGGGGGCATGCAGGAGGCAGCTAAATGATGTTTCTATCTTTCCCTCTCCATTCCTCTCGTAAGTCAATAAAAAGGAGGGAGCCCATATGATCCAGATAGTATGGGATGGAGCCCAAGTGTTGTATTATCTAAATAATTCACAGAGGGCTGTGGAAAAAAAAAAAAAAGAGCCATATTTAGGGTCCACTGATATAACTGCCTCAAAGTCTAAACCTTTTCTCCTTAATCTCCCAGATTAAATTGGGTTTGTGTCATTCACTTGTTCAAAAACCTTTGAGGAATCTCCATTTCTAATCCTGATAAACTTTCAATTCCAATAGCATGGATTTTAAGCCCCCTTATCATATGGTCATTGCCCATCTCTTCTATCATCACTCCCTCACCAAATACCAAGTATAGCTGAGATAGGTCATTGCCTTTTCATATTATTTTCATTAGTTCTGCCTCTTCTGGCACCAGGACCTTTGCTTGTGCTGCATTCTCTCCATCTCTCACATCTTAGAAGGGAGCATGGAACCTGGCACAGAGTGATACTCAGTGGCTTACTGATTTAAGAAATAAACAGACAGGTGAATGAATGAATACATCATCTGTGTCCTAAGGATTTATGTGGCCAAACACTATTATGTTCTTCCTTCTGTCCTTAGGAAGTTATTGTGGATCCAGACACCACCTCCTACAGCCTGGCAGACCTCAGCCCATCCACTCACTACACAGCAAAGATCCAGGCACTGAACGGGCCCCTGAGGAGCAAGCTGGTCCAGACCATCTTCACCACAAGTAAGGGGCGTAGGGATCAAACCTGTGAGACTGAACCAACCCTCCTCCTCTCCTCTGACTGCTACATGAAATTCACGCACCAAAATTCTGACAAGGATCAATTCCTGCCACTCCCTGACAGCCGAGGAATATGGGTACAAGAGATGACAGGGCTCATGGTGAAAGAGAAGGAGGGTCAGTAGTGAGAATGTCTGAATTCAGTCCTCATCTCCACCACTTGCTCTGTGTGACTCAGGAAATCATGCCATTCTATGAGCCTTAGTTTTTTAATCTATACAATGGGCTTGATAACCATCCCTTCTTAAGAACTTTGAGAGGGTCCTTGTGTTGTATTTGACCTCCTAGCCCATTGTGTTGTCCATTCTCAGGGCTCATTATATGCTCAGGGCCCCCACTTTTTCTTCTTCAGCTTCTCAACATTTGCAAAGCATGTCCATATTCATTCACGCACATGCCTCCCACCAATCTGGCGTGATGTGCCAGGAAGGCCATTCCAGTGTTTGGAGAAAAAACAAAGGCTTTTATTTTCTCAAAGCTACACCATAACTTAGAGTCAGCTTTGGGCTCAGGACCATGGAACCACCCCTGCACCCTGCCACTGCATACCTTCTGTAGATGTTAGACATGCCAGCTGCTCCATTGGCGAATAAAAGGAAGGAGCCGTTCCTGGGAAGAGAGCCCTGAACCTGGTTGCATGGAGCAGACCCCAGAGATACCTCCTGCCTGCACTTTTCACTTTGGTTACTCTGCACACACCTGCTGAGGGAGGGCCACAGGCAAACGCACCTCTTTGCCAGAACGTACACCAGGTGTTGGGAACACAAAAATATGAGTGTACTCTAAATATGACTTCAGATGAGGGCTGTGAAATAGACAACAGCTAATGATGCAACCCCAGGTGATGGTCAAATACAGTGAGGAGTCAGATCAGAAAAAGGACAGCTGTGTCCGTCTGTTCTCCCGGCCACCTGCTAAGCACAGACCCAAGATTGTCTGTATCGAGCATGGTTTTTAAGTGTTTGTATCTTAGAAGGAAGTGTTTGCCAAGTGTTTGCTAAATATTCCTTCACTTGGAAATTCCACAGGCATTCTTGTTCTCCCCTGTCCCCACCTGTCTAAGATCCCTAGGCGGAGGGCAGTTAAATGCCTCTCCAGCGTCCTAAGGCAAGGAAGTGAGGAGTTCAGGACTGAAACTCCTAAATTATCTGGTGACACTGAGATGCATCGGCCTAACAGAGTGCCCTGATCCACAATGAGCCACCCACTGGATGATGGGGACCTAGACATCCTGGCCAGTACCTGGGTGTCCATCAGATGCAGCCTGGCCACTCCAGGTAGATTGAGGCCAACCTCCCACATGGCCATCACAGTGGCTCAGCCCTCCTCCCACTAACATCATTGACAGCTTCCATCAATCTAAGGTACTGAGATGGGCGAGCCTCTTAGATCAACAACCTCTAAGCCTCTGCACTCATACAAATAGGTTTTGTCCCCTCTTGCATCTGAGAAAACACAGCCTCAAAGAGGGTCAGTCATCCAGCCAACAAGGAGTAGGGCTGAAATCCACAAGCTCCCATCCCAGTCTCCCTGCTCTGACATCACTCTTTCTTCTCCACCCCTCTCCCTCTCCCCGCCAGTTGGACTCCTGTACCCATTCCCCAGGGACTGCTCCCAGGCAATGTTGAACGGAGACACGACCTCTGGCCTCTACACCATTTACCTGAACGGCGATAAGACCCAGGCTCTGGAAGTCTTCTGTGACATGACCTCTGATGGGGGTGGATGGATTGTGAGTATCGCCGAAACCCCAGGCACGGGGGCTGTGGGCAGAGGGCATGTGGGGCAGGAAGGCTGGAGGTCCTGCCCCTACACTCTGACCCCAAAGCGCATGAGGTTCTAATGTAGTGCCTGTCACAGCACTCAAGGATTGTCATTTATAAAAAATGGGGGCAAAAAGAAGAAAATACTTTTCTTGTAATTTATCTCATCTGATGCTTAGCTCTGTGTTGCACAAAAAACTGCAGTGGTCCTAAACCCACTGTATATGTTAATTACCATTTGCTCTCTACCAGGCATGTGCTAAGAATTTTATTTCATTTGCATTATCATACAATCTAGGTAATATTTTTTAAATTGATACATTATTTTTTTAGAACAGTTTTACAATTACAACAAAATTGAGCATGTGGCCCTAGCCGATTTGGCTCAGTGGATAGAGCATCAGCCTGTGGATGGAAGAGTCCCAGGTTCAGTTCTAGTCAAGGGCATGTACCTTGGTTGCAGGCTCCTCCCTGGCCCGGGCATGAGAAGGAGGCAACCAATCTATGTGTTTCTCTCACATCGATGTTTCTCTCTGTCCCTCTCTCTCCCACTCTTTCTAAAAATGAATGGGGAAAAAATATCCTAGGGTAGGGTTTAAAAATAATAATAAAAGAATAAAATGCAACACTATTACTTAAAAAAAAAATTGAGCATGTGGTATAGTGAGTGTCCCCAGGCCCTGTTTCCCAGAAGCACAGCCTTTCCCACCATTAGCATCCCGGCCCAGGGTATGTATTAGTTACAAGCAACCCTCTACTGACATAGCATCATCACGGGTGGTGTAGTGTTTTTAGTCCCTATGCTTCAGATGACAACACCAAGGCTCAGAGAAAGGAGCTGAGCTGCCAAAGTTACCTGGAAAATTAGTGAGGACAGAGCTAGGACATATGCTTTCCCACAGCCCGATGTTCTTCCTCTTAGAAAGATGCCTTCTCTTTCTCCAGTAGCTTCAGTGCACAGACCTCACTGGTTATGTTCACAGGTGTTCCTGAGACGCAAAAACGGACGCGAGGACTTCTACCGCAACTGGAAAGCCTATGCCGCTGGGTTTGGGGACCGCAGAGAAGAGTTCTGGCTCGGTGAGGCCGCCCTGCATGCTTGTGTCCCAAACGTCCATTTCTGCCCCCTCGTCACTTGTCCTACCCACAGCAACTTCTGGGAGAGAAATGGATGAGGGGGAAGGAGCTCTGGTAGTAGACATAGAATTCAACTTCTCAGTGGAAAATATTTAAATTCTCTTTAGCATTCAAAAATAAAACTCTGGTCAAGGGAAAGCCAACAGCCAGGCCTTTAGAATGAGCCTCTCCTTTAATCATTCACTGGCACTTAAGAATTGTCCTCCGGAACCATTAACTGCTTCTGCCCTGGGCTCCCAGTGCTGAGATGGGGACTAAGCACCCCTGTAAGGTACAAAGATCTTGCGCATAGGAAACCAGAGTCATGGGGGAGAATCTAGCCAATACTGTTAGCATTAGAGCTACAATTTAAAATTCCCTGAGGCAGCTCTACAATGCCCTCCTCCATCCATCTGCACAGCTCACACCTTCCGATAACCTGCAAATGGATTGTCTGGCAAGGAATGTCTATCCAGCAATCATCCATTGCCTTTCACTTGTACAGAGCTTTAGAGTTTACCAGGGCTTTCTCCACCTCATCTCCTCTGACCTTCACAAAACCCTAGGGGCTGGCAGGGCAAAGCTCTCAACCCAAGTTTGCCTGAGGCTTAGAAACATCATCTGTTTTGCCTGGTGCTGCCCCAGCAAAGAGCAGACCAAGCTGCAAGCTGGGGTCTGAGACTCGACCCTCCTTAACACACATCAGCCTCTGCCCTAATGTGAGTGGAATAGAAACAATGGCCTCTGTTGCTGGTGCTCCTGCATTAATCCTTGCCTGTTGTCCACAGGCCTGGACAACCTGAACAAAATCACGTCCCAGGGGCAGTACGAGCTGCGGGTGGACCTGCGGGACCATGGGAAGACAGCCTACGCCGTCTACGACAAGTTCAGTGTGGGAGATGCCAAGACTCGCTACAAGCTGAAGGTGGAGGGATACAGTGGGACAGCAGGTAAAGACAGCCACTCAGAGCCCACAGAACCACAGGGCATTCCTGTGCTCTCACTTGAGTCCTCCCTGAATCATCCCTTCCCTTTCTTCATTAATCAATTAATTTATTGGGTTATCCATTTATTGAGTATTTGTATCCCTACTGGGTGCTGATCTGGAAGAACTGCTATTGGACCAAGCTGGGCAGGTATTTTGGTCACCGAAATAGAGGAGGTTGGGAAGCAGGACACTCAGGGCTGATTTGGAGCTGCCATCACTTAGACATATTTAGATTTCAGCATAGACTGACAGAAAAAGTCTCTCAGGGGCCTTCATACTCCCGTAATCCAGTGCTTCTCAACCTAATGTACATACTTGAGGCCCAGTGCACAAAATTTGTGCAGGAGGAGGGCCTCAGCCCAGCCTGTGCCCTCTCACAGTTTGGGACCCATCAGGATGTCCAACTGCTGCGGAGGCTGGAGAGGCTTCTGCCACCACCTCTATGCTCGCCAGCAGTGAGCCCTGCTTCTGGCTGAGTGGTGCTCCCCATGTGGAATGCACTGACCACCAGGGGGCAGCTCCTGTGTTGAGCATCTGCCCCCTGGTCGTCATTGCACATCATAGAGACCAGTCATTCTGGGTTTGATTTGCAATTAGCCTTCTATTATATAGGATGTGCCCTCGAGGGATGCCACTGAGATTGTGTTTCTTACAAACTCTGAATGCTGCTGTGGGTGGTGGTGCACTCTGAGTAGCAAATAATTCAGGGCATCACCAATTGCTCGAGTCTCTTCAAAGACATCCCTGCCACATGGCCAATCAGCATCAGCCTAAACACCCAGGGCAGAAGACCGCTGCAGCAATATTTTCGTTCTTTGGTCCCCAACCTAGCACAGATTTCTTGACTTGACATGGCCTCTGTGTGGTGTCTGGCGCCATGTTAGAGGAGAAATAAACAAGGGCACAGCATGCATTCAGGGCTCCTGGGTCGCATCCTCTAGTGCAGATATTCCCACACATTACCCCCACTCAAGCTCTCACAGAAGCCATGCCAGGAAGGCAGAGGAGGAAGTTCGACAATTTGCCCAATTGACACAGCTTGTAGAGGGTGGGCCCAGGTACAATCCGGGCTGCAGAAGGTACTCTTGGGAACAAGAGGGATCAGGTCTGCTAGTGTGCCCAGCCTGTGCCATCCTGCCCATTTTGGGTGTCTCTCGGTGATGTGCATGTAACAGAAGAGGTGCTATGTTATATTTATAGTCTCTCTGATCCCTGAAAGAAAACATCTATGATTTTTTTTTAAATGACTCCAGATAAAGGTTTGCCAAAAGCCAGGCTCAGTCCAAGGGGAGACAAAGCTCTTTACAGAAGAGAGAGGCACCCCTCACAAAGAAGCCTGACATTTTATTAGCTTGCCATAAATACCTCTTTGGTGGAGAGGGCTTCAGGCAAGAGGGATCCAGTTACTTGGCAAACAAAGACGCTGGCTGTCAGCAGGAGTTGGGTGAGCCTCCACCCTCTGTAATTCCAGCAGAGATGAGCTGGGATGCATCCCTGACAGGAGACACCTCATTCATCAGTGTCCACCTGCCATGCTCATACTCTCAGCAGCTTAGACAAGCACCTGCTGCCTCTGACAACCTGCTCCTAAAGGTCAGGTAGGTGCCAGGGCATCCTGATGCTTTCATGCACAAGCTGGCCAGGTGGGGAGTGAAGGTGCACAGAAAGAACGGCACTGAAATCTTCCCAAAACTCAATGTGTTAATTACAAACCAGATTCCCAAAAAGCACTCTATGAGTGGGCTTCTTATCTAAGAGTCAGAAGGCTGGCCCCATAAACACTTAGAAAAAATAACTCTGTGGGGCACAGGCTATTGGGTTACATCTGATAGCTGAAGGGTTTGATTCTAAGTATGGTTCTAAAGATTTATATTTGGGACAAAGCATTCTTAAGTGCAGATTTTTCGCATTACTCAGTGAGCGCCTTTATGGACAGGGAATGCAAAACATCATATAAATAGCATCAATCATAACTATTTGCTCAACTGTACCTTTTTAGCATACACCTCATAAATGGTCCCCTGAGGTGGAGAGAATCAATGTGCTAGTCCCATTTTATAACTTAGAAACTGAGGTGCAACAAGCAGCTTGACCTGTGCAAGGTCATAGCTAAGGAGTGAAAGAGATGGGACTTGAAGCTGGACCATCCAAAGTCACCCACAGCCGTCATTCTACCACATTATGCTGCTTCTATGAGAAATTCATCGGTGGGTGTCACTCATATCCCATCCAGGCCCATATGTGATCCTAAATCTGATCTAGTGTTCAAGGCCGGCCCACCCAGGACCGTTCCCTTGTCACCTCAGGTTGTGTCCTTCACATCCCAGAGGAGACTCCAGCTGGGATCTCTCAGTGCATTCTCTCTCGCTCTCCCAGGTGACTCGATGGCCTACCACAATGGTAGGTCCTTCTCCACCTTCGACAAGGACACTGACTCAGCCATCACCAACTGTGCCTTGTCCTACAAGGGGGCCTTCTGGTACAAGAACTGTCATCGTGTCAACCTGATGGGCAGATATGGGGACAATAACCACAGTCAGGTGAGCAGACCGACAGGGCGCCAAGCTCGGGAAGCCAGTTGGGGGTGAGACTAGGAGCAGCAATCTCAGGAGTTAACATGTTTTCCCTAGCACAGCAGTGACAGGAACCTCAGTGACAGGCAGATCAGGTGAAGTCATAGAAATAGCACACATGAGGAACCACTGAACAAGTGGATTCCAAAATAGAGCTTTCCTCGGGCAAAACCTTTGTCTAAGCCCCAAAAGGAGAGCAGACAAAGGGAAGGCCATGAGGTGAAGCGGGGTGAACACAGGTATTCCTGCGTCTTGTTATGTCGCCTCAGTTACACTTCCTCTCTGAGCGCTATTATCTTCACTGCCTTGGCCCCTAACATCAGTGCAATACAAAGTCTTCCTGAAAAAATAAAGACAGTTACGTGCCAAGGGAAACATCTTTTTCCATCCTTCACCCAATGTGGAAGGAGAAGAGAATGTAAAAGGCTGTAAAGGAGAGCGGGGTGGGCCCTAGCTCTGGCTCCGCTCCAGCACTGTGCTAGCTCCTTCACATTCTGCCATCCCTTTCGACCCCCAGTCAGATCCTTGGTAGGAATCCCGTGGATTATAGATACCCCCTCACAGAGCTACTCAATTCTGTTACCTCCAGTGCTGACCTGAATTCTTTTCCCACTTTTCCTCGTGATGGCAAGTGCCATCGGCCACCACTTAGTCTCAGGTGGCAGAGCCAATCTCAGGTGGCTTGTGACTAGAGTAACACAGTTGAGTTGGACTCTGCCAGCTCTGCTGGCACTTTTCACCACACAAGTCAGCATACAGAGACAGTAGTGAACTGCCCCGCAGTCACACTGGAACAGAACTCATCACCCCGTCCTCCAGAGAGCAACTGTCAGTGCCTATTGGGAACCAACTGGGAGCTCTTCTCGTTCTACAGGGTGTTAACTGGTTCCACTGGAAGGGCCACGAACATTCCATCCAGTTTGCTGAGATGAAGGTGAGACCCAGCAACTTCCGAAACCTTGAAGGCAGGCGCAAGCGGGCGTGAATTGCAGGGACAACTGGCTGAGAGGTGTAGGGCCCAGAGGAAGAAAAGAATTTTACCAAAGCACCAGTGCAACCCGTCCAACCGTCAAGCCACACCTGGGCATTTGGCAGGAGTTCACGTGGACCATGGCGCCTCGGGGCCAACGGCAGGAGCACGGCGTCCCCCCTCTGCGATCCCTTCCTTCGCACCAAAGACAACTTCTCCAACAGGCTTCTGTTGTGTTGTTCAAATCCGCAAAAGCCTTCCAGCACAGCAGCCCAGTGATTTTCTTTCTCGCAGCGGCTGTGGGAATGGGGTGGGGGTGTCCGGCTGTACAGTGGTAGTTTTAGAACCGGCTGTCTTTTACACAAAGCTGCATAATTAATTATTGTTATTTTTGTTCCCAGTGACTCAATGTGTGTCATTGGGAGCCATCCCCATTTTTTACATTTCATACAACAGAACCCAGAAAAGCAACCCTGTTTCAATGTTAAGGATATAATTAATATTATTAATATAATAATAAGGATGATGGTGAAAACTAAGGATTTTTAAAGAGACTTTCCTTCCCGAAACACATGTGTACAGTACCTGATTGTATTTTTTTTTTTAATAAAAGCACAAGTACTTTTAAATTGGACTGTTGTTTCACCTTCCATTGTTGAACTTGAATCCCACCAAAACCAATGTATTTGAACACCAGGGGGTCCTGGAATAGGAAGAGGAGGAGGGTGCTGGTCACGTGGGAAACAAGGGCTAGAAAGGAGGAAACACCTTTCTGGATAAAGATGAACAAGTTCGGAAAAGCTTACACATTAGATTCAGCTTCTTGCTCAATATTTCCAAGACTAGTTGTTTATGGTTTAAAGGCTGTTTTTTACACCCATTTTCCTATGTGATCACCTAACAATGTTATGACATAGATGAGGCAGAATTGCCTGAGGGAGGTGCTCACACACGTGTTCATGTCAAAGCATTTCCGTGAAAATGAATGTTATCACTCACAGGAGGCCCTTAGCACAGTGCCAGGCACACATTAAATTCTAATAAACAGTAATTATCCTGCTATTATTTTATATATGATGGGTTGGGGTTCCTACAAGCGCAATGCCTTCTGTATGGCTACTCAACCAGTTACCTACCCCAACCTGACCCCTGATGAATCTCCCTCCTTCCCTGGGGAAAGGTGTGCCATGAGGACAGCGGACAGGCTGCAGAATGAGAAAGGTCCACGGGATCCTTCATCAGAATCCACAATCTCGAATCTTAGAACTGTGAAGAATGCCTATTAGGAATATCTCCTTCTCCCCTATTCAAAGTCCCCCATTCCCCAGCCTCAGCCTGATTATGTCTGGTGATAGGAGAGCTCACTGCCCAGCACAGCAGGCAGATCTGTTCACTACCAGTGACTAAGAGTCAGAACCACACTTGACACATTTCTCTTCTAGAACGAGGATGGGAAAAGCTATCCCCAGTTCATTCCGAGGTGCTTCCAGCAAATTGACTTATTTAATGGCAATGTTGGGGCTGATAGGCCTCATTCAAATGGACCGTGATGGCTCAGAGAGAGGATCAGAGCATCGAAATCTGGCCAGGCACTTTGCTGCACAGTTTATCACGCTTTAACAAGCACAGTCATGTCATAGACACAATTTTCTGCTCCAGATCACAGACTTGTTGCCTGCAATTCAGCAATAGCAACACTACCTTTGCTCCATACACCAAACAAATGGGTGCCCGCGACCACCAAGCCTTAGTGCAGCCTTAACCCTCTACCAGCTCCTGCCCGGAGGTCTCTGAGCAACAGTCCCACCCATCCCCTCCCAAAAATGGTAGATGGAGCTAAGCTGGTGCTCATGATTTCAGTAGATTTAGAAAGTAACACCCATAGGACTTGGGTTCCAGAGAGCTTCTCCATGTCCTGAGCTGTCCTCAATTCCGACAGGGCACCTTTCCAAGACCAGGCTGTAGCTCGCTGCTTGGAACCAAAAGGGGCCACCTGCTCACCTGATGAGCTCAGGGAAAGCCTGTGTGGCGGCCTTGCAAACTCATACACCTAGAGCAGTGGTTGGCAAACTGAGGTTCACAAGCCACATGCAGCTCTTTGGCCCCTTGAGTGTGGCTCTTCCACAAAATACCACACGCAGGTATGCATGTACAGTTCACTTGAAACTCCATGGCCCATGCACAGAAGTCGGCTTTTGGTTCTCAAAAGAAATTTCAATCGTTGTACAGTTGATATTTTGCTCTGTTGACTAAGGAGTTTGCCGACCACTGCCCTAATCTATCACCAATGGATTTCATGTAATCCACTTATGTCTCCTCCTTTGATTGTAATTTAAATTAAATATAAGTAATGCCATTCTCCAGAGAATGTTGACATTCTGTTTCCTGGCAATTGTCAACAGTTTGGCTCAAATAAACTTACAAAAATTCTTTACAGGTTTGAATGTTTCTTATGTTAACACTGCAAAGGTTGAAGGTAGTTCAAGGCCTGGCCTTGCAGGCTTGTGTTCCCTGAGCGCAGTTGAGAATTGTGGAAGGTATTTAAGGCAGGACTGACATAATCAGTGTTGCTCTTCAGAAGGGCAACTCCCCCCACCTGTGTCCTCTGGCCCAGTGGGTGCTAGGAGCCTCCACATGCACCAGGCCAGAATATGAGGTGTGCTATATCAGTGGCCAGCAGAGGGTCCCATCCCCTCCTCCTCTTCCTTTCCCAGTGAGCCCCCCAAATGAAATGAAAGCTCAGAAAGGAAGCAGAAATCGGGTCTCTCCTTGATCAACCCCAAGACTGGAAAGTAGATCTCAGTATATTATAGGAAACATGCACACACACACACACACAGTGCAAATAAGCAGCTGCTGCATTAGTCCAGTATATTTGCAGTTATAGATTAAATGTGTTTGGAGTGGTGAAGTTGACAGGCCTTGAGGTGCCAGAGCTGGGACTAAAGCCCAGGCCTCCTCAGCCACAGAGCCTTGAGGCGGCCATCTCACTCAGTACACCCAGAACACCTGCCACTTGCCAGTTCCCACATTATGCTTTACAGTTTGCAAAGCATGTGTGATCACAGCAACTTCTGCAAAGTAACCCTTGCAGTTGGAGCTGAGCTGAACCCCAGGTTTTCCAATGACCAAACAATCTTGGTCTACTCACTTAATTTTCCAGAGTACCCTAAAAATGAGAATGAAGAGGACCTCCTACCCTGAAGACAATTTGTGCTAATTTAAAAGAGAAACTGGACAGTGCCTGGCCTGGAGGAAATGCCAATACAAGTTTGTCTCTGAAGTTGTGTCTGGATGCATACTTAAGTCTTCCAGTAGATGGCAGTCTCTCCCAGCTTTAGGGGGGTAGGAGCTCCTTGTGAACCTGGTGATGTGGACATGCTGCCAACTAGGCTCCCTTTCGAAAAACACTTCACCTCCACTCTAATCCCTCCTTCCATTAGGGGCTCAAGTTCTGCCCAGGGCATGGCAGGTGCTGCACAAAGCCTCCTGAAGACAACCACAAATCCTTGGTTTGTCACCACCTGCAAATCTGCATTGGGGTGAAGGACAGGAATGTGGGGGGCAGGGACAGGGTTTCTGACCACATGTCCAATCCCACTCAGATTATGCAAGGACCTCCTGGCAAGGACTACTGACCAACCTTCTCGGGGATGTTTAAGGGCTCCTTTTTATTAACGTCCCACCACTAACTTATGTTTGCTTTCTCCTCCCTCACTGCTGGTTGTGAAGGCCAAGCTCTCCCTTTCCTACTGTCCCACGCTTGTTCCTTTGGTTTGTTCCAGGCCCCTCATTTCCTACAGCTCAACTTTCGAGCGCTGATCAATGGGGCCAGTTTCTGTTGCCCTGGATGTTTACTTTGTCTTCACCCCTAACACCTGGGTTAGGTGGTGATCTCTCCAGATAATCCTGAGAAAGCTTGGGCAGCATTGAAAACAAAGTCAGTGCCCCCAACGCTTGCCTCCTAGAGCCCATCTCTGCCCACAGGAAGTTGTAGGGTGATCTTATGAAATGCTGAGTCATCTCATCCCACTGCTCAAAATCCCCAAAGACTGCCTCCCGGCTTAGCCCAAGTCCAGGGTGTTACAGTGGCTTTCGTGAACCTGCGTGATCCCTCTCCTCAAACTTCCATGACCTCAACTCCTCTCCCAGGATGCTCTTGGCACGCTAGCCTTCCTGCTGTCCTTCAAATCCACAAGCACGCTCCCCCTTCAGACTTTGCCTGGAACGCTCTTTCCCCAACACACACGTCACTCACTCTCACTTCCTTCAGGCATCCTCCCAATATCACCTTCTACACGAGACTTTCCCTCACCACCCACATAAGCACATATGCACACACACACGCAAAAACACATGCATGTGCACACACAAGCTAGGGTCCAGCACTCCTATTGTTTTCCACAGCACATATTTCCACCAGATTTGCCATTAGTTTACTTATGTAGGTGCATGTTTTCTAGAAACCAATGAAAATGAACAGCAAGAGCTATATGAGGGTCCTCTCCACTGTATCTCCAGCCCCCAGCCTGAGCCTGTGCTGTCATTTCTCAGTCATGGCCAAGCAGCCAGCCGTGAGAGGAGAGGCAAGGAGACCTGGTTAGCCTCATTCTGTTTTCTATTGAATGCTTCGAGTGTCAAATCTGTCCCAGATCATCGTTTTAAGCAGAAATTAGCTCAGAGAGGACACGATTTTCCCAAAGCTGCCGGACAATCAGTGTGGATTCAAATTCAGGTACCATTCACACACATCGTGACCTCAAGAGGTCAGAACCTAACAGTGTGATTTAGAGAAATAGCAAAGGAAGTGCTGTATGGAGAGCCTTAGGCAGCAGCCTCTCCTAGAAGCTGGCCATGGCCAAGACTGTCCTCCAGCCAAGGAGGGAGAAATCCAGCAAAAATTTGGAGGGAAAAGCACCATAAGCATCAGTCATTTGAAAGACAGAACATGGTATGTGTCCAACCCAAATCTCTTCTTCAGGGACTTTCCTCACACGTGGCGACTTGGAGAGCAG